AGACAAACGAATTAAAAAAAAATATATTAAGACAAATAAAGTTTCTCAATGCTTCTTTTTGTTTCTTTTCAGGTGAAACCAGTCGTTATCTCTACCAAACCAGAAAATTATTTTTGTATTTAAATGTAGAAAAAACTATGTAACTTCAAGAACATCCATACCAATATTTACAATCATCGTTTCGAGACGTATACTAGCTTACAAATAAACAGTGTGGGGCTGTGATGTCAAATAGAACATTTGCGAGATTCAATTTATTAGAAATAAATTGTTGGGAAAGTAAGAGTCTGTGGGGATGTATTCGGGCACAAGTTATGTCAACTTATGGGCGACAATGCTCGTTATAAAATGACTACATATATGTTATTTCCAGTGCTAGAAAGAAATAGTGTGAATCTCCTTTAATCCGTATTTAAACTCTGCAACTTTCTGTATTTAACCAAAATTTTCCAATAAAAATAAATTTCAAATAATAGGTCGAGTAAAACTTTAAAGGCATTTCTTGTTTTTCCCAAAAAATCTCCAAAGAACAATAATCAGGTGAAGCCTTGTTTTCAGATGTCTATCATTTCTGTTGATTCATTTACCGATTTAATAAAAGTCATTATGGGTTTTGCATTGTAGTTCCCCCACGCATTAATTATACAGTCATCAATTCAACCTTAGATGTCCTTTGTATGTAATAAAATGTAATTACGGTATATCAACAATTCTTTATTTAGCACATACAAAAAGTAAGTTCAAAAAGTATATGGTCATGACGCTAATAAAGGCGTGAACACCGAAATGCAGTATGATAGGGACGATTTTACTTTTAAATATAAATCTATATACTTTGATGCCTAAACATGTGCAGAAAAGAAGCATGTACACTTCATTCGTATTTGTACTCTTTTCAGTCTCGACAAAAGATCATCGTCTTTTATTGAAATCATATTATTTGTCCATCCTTGCCGTCAAAAACCAGTTCAGTTTGAATAGAATTGTCATATAATGCCATATCCTACTTAATTCTTTGGATGAGAGGCTGTATAAGTTAGATAATATACCTCGGACTAGGTTTTTTTTTACCAAACTTAACAAGGACATCTTAGGAGACGAATTGGAATGGTAAGTCTTACTATTCTACGTTTATCGAGAAAATCATGCAGGAAAACGCAAAGCTAAACAAAATGAATGAGTCAAGAAATTAGCAAATTTGACCAAATACCCTTTCGTGTAATGGCATTCTCCTACTGTAAACATCGCTAAATATGGTGGGATAAAACGATTCTGCAATGACTACAGTTCAACTAAGACACCACAATTTCCAAATTCGTCCGGAACCAGACGATATCAATAATCAAACAAAATAGGGTTACATTTATGTTAAACTTGACTGGATTTAAATACTGGATACTGGCAGTTCATTAATATTGAGCCAGATATTATTAAAGGAGATTAACTTATAACATGTTGAAAGGGCAACAACAAAACCGCAAAATATGCTTTATCACATAAGACCCTTTGCGAATAGTGACGTCATCAAACACTAAGTTTAGTGGAATTTCAGAAACCACAGGTGTCTAATTGAAATTGGAATAGTGAAAAGTGGTGCTATCAGTGTGCCGATACACGTAAAGAATTTAGAAACTCTTTTTACAATCCCTTTAAGACGTTGTAGATAAAGACAACCCCAGTTGCAAAAATATGACACTTTCAGTTCTGTCAAATCTGAAGTAAGACAATGACAAGTATGTACTAAACTAGAGATTCTGAAAACAAATAGTAAAACGCCAGGAAACCAAATGGAAGTCGCCTTTCGTTTATATATAGAAAGAAATAAACTTTAATAACAATAGCCATTAGCAAAATCTTGTTAACAATAGACACGGGATTGGCATTAATTGATGAAATTACTGAAGAGATAGCTTTACTGTCACTCTTAATTTCTTAAGACAAATAAATCTCTCGGGGGAGTCATTCTATACTGAATAAGTATATAGTTACAGAGGTCTATACAACTTCCTCATTAATAACAGAATATTTACCTGGCTTCTCCAAATAGAAAGTCTTCATTCTTAAAGGGATACCATCATCTAAATATTTGCTTGATCTGTCCATGATAGAGCAGAATGAATACACACGAGAACGTAGGACACGAGAATGTAATAACGATTTTTCAAGTGACGATAGTCTAACTTAAGGAATTGTAGGAGAATCAGAGACATTGGTTTTACATTCTGAAAAAGGGATTCAGCTAAAATTAAGCTCCATCTGCAAGTTGTTAGTTCACTATATCCCTTAGAGTAAGACACAGCTATCGTCAATTCAATTAAGCAACAAATTCGGGCAAGTCATGGGTGTCGAGGGTGATTAAGTGCGGAACGACGAGCAATAAAATGTTGTCTCGCCCAATCTTTCTTCCACCCATTTCAGTAAACCTATGAACGCTTTATTTAGTTCGTTTGGAGGAGGAACTCAACTTTCCATATTTTTGTAGGTCCCCTCAAATCAATATTTTTGGTATAAACTCTTCAATAAAACATAAATATACTCAAGAGTAGTGAACTGTGAACTTTCAATTGGGATAGCACAACCATTTACATATTTTACAACAGACAATTGGCTTACATCATCACCTTACGAGACCGATAACTCTACAAACAACCATGGTCATAGGCATACGGGTCGAATGCCTGATGGGGGTGGAGGCGATGTCGGGCGAAGCACAACTCCGAGCACCGAAGAGGTACTTGTCTGCAAGAGTTTTTTCGATCGAGATCGAGATAATATGTTGCAGCTTATTCGACATAGGGTTCATCCTTGGGTAATTAGAAACACTCACCACACCAAGTTTCGCCAAAATCCGTCACAATTTGTGAGCGTTTTCAAGGAAAGGGGAATATCTCATACTAAATATTTTTCGATTTTTCTTACTTTCAATTGAGTCCACCCTTCCATAAACTTACACCAAGTTTCGTCAAAATCCGTCAAGAATGGTACCTTGTAGAGTGTTAACGAGCAATTACGGACGGACGGACCAGCATACCACTGGACATGGGTGTCGCCAATATACGCCTCCCCCCCCCCCCCCCATTTTTGTCTTATGGAAGGCCCTTTCTGACGCTCCATGGCGCTTCCAATGAGCATGCGCTTAACATAGTTCTATGCATAGAGCTGTCGTATTTTGAATCTTGACAGTTATTCCCCCATTGAGTCAGTCTGCCCCCTATATGTACTCCCAAGTCTCTAGAGGATGGCGCCGCCACTGGCCTGTGATGATATACACTCAAAAGCCTAATTATGATAATATCATTGTCGATGTGTTTGACTGATGTATTTTAAGTTTGAACAAATGAATCACAGCCAGCTGGACAATGAATAATAATTTATGTTATAGGTATTTTGTGAATATACAAAGCAGTCATTTCGTGTTTATATAACCACTAAAGCAGAACAAAACATAAAACTAAAATGAAACATCGAAAAATCAAAAACCCACAATATTTTTTGGAATTTTTTTTTTTTTTTACGGTTGGTGTCGATTGGTGTCTCATTCGGAGCTATCAGAAATCTAGCTTTTAGTTCTTCAATTGTCAAGAATGAGTCATCTTTCCAGTGGAAAATCAAGATCACTGCAATTAGGTTTGGCTAAGGGTCAGCTGGTAGATTAATCTATGGTTATTTGCAGCCTATTGGCTGACTATAGCAGTCTTGCAATACAGGTAACATAATCCTAATAAGGAGAATTTTCAACCAATCTTAGAAACTGCTCTTGAAATTATTACATCCATTCTATAAACATCAAGATTAATTTTTCATTGCTAAAAAATAAATCCAAGAAATATCTTTTTTATTCTGCTGTTATATAAATTTGTCTTTTTTTTCTATCGATTCTTGCAGTGAATCTTGCAGTGAATCGACTTTAGTATTAGTCCAGTCTTGTATTTGATTTTTTGATTTATTTTAAGAGTAACTATTTGTATTCAAACATCATTTTGATATAACCAATTGATATGAAAAGGATAAAAGTGTGAATAGCGACATACCTCATTCTTTTATTTGCTAAGATGAACAATATAGTAATTATAGAATAATTTGCTTTTAACAATAAATAACTTTCTCTTTGTATTTTATATATGATATTTTTTACTATACTATGCTCTTAGAATTCTTTGCACTTCCATTTACAGGAACAACTGGAATTAATGACTTATTCAAGGTCAGCAGACTTTTACAAACAGCTTTCATGTGTTATTATAGGGGTTCAATTCTTTGTACAGAAAGCATGCAATTCTGCTGTTCAACTAATATTTGGCATTAAAAAAAATAATTTTCACAATCAACTTCCAAACATTTCTATTTTTTTTTTTTTATAGCATTAAAAAAATATCTTTTGCCATCTAGGATCCATTCCGCCACAACCAGACAACGAATATTAAAAAAATAAGAAAGGAAGAACCATCATTTTCATGGATAGCAATAAAGGTTTCCCCAGATTCAGTCTACTTACTGATCCTTGGCAAAACATCCAAGAGGTGATCTTTTCTTGATTACCCATTTACAGCTGTATCGACTGCCATATTGAAGTTTAGACAATTCATTCAAGATCACAAGACATTCACACGTTGACTAGGAATAGAACCACTGACCACCAGAAAACAACACATCTAGGTTGAAAAATTTAAATCTACTTTGACAGTTATTTGATCGTTCAACTCAATAACTTGAATGGAAATAAGACAATTACCATTGCTAAGCTTGACTTAAGCTTCTGAAAATATCAAATGCCTACATAAAGATGAAGCTTAAAACAAGCTTATGCTCTAAAACACACAAACTACCATCACCATCAGCTATACCCACTAGTTGTAGTTCTATCTTCAGTGGAAATGACAAAACCTTTACAACTTCTCCACAATGACCTATCATAGTTTTTTTTTTTTTCATAGATCTTTCTAAAAGACGTTTAGTTTATTCTTGGAGAGTTTCAAATATCTAACAGAATAGTCAGTGCCCTAATACCATTGTAGATGCATAGCTGTTGCACCATCTTGAAATTGAGGATTATAATCTGTTATTTGGGCTCGACACATTGGACACGTTCTCTCTCTATCAAACCAAACAGACACACAATCTTCACAAAATATGTGCTGAAATTCAAGAAATAAGGTAAATACTAACAATGGCAGTGGCAGTGGAATAGCTCAGTTGGCAGCGAGTTGGATTGCCATGTGCTAGGCGATTAGGTGCCATTGGGTTCAAATCCTCTTCCAGGTAAGAAATATTCTGATGCCTGTGCCAGTGCTTCCTAGAGTCAGCCTGGTGTTGGCTTTTATCCTCTTATATCTAACATTCCAACAATCTGAATATAATACAGCTTCCAGTTTCCTACTCATTCCAGATCTGACAAATCCTTTCTTTAAGTCAAGTTCAGCTGATGATTTGATATACTTTATGTAACCAATATTACATTTTTTTTTACAATTTTCTCCTTATAAATATCCCTACCACTTTTACAGAGCATTAATTGTTTGATTTTTTTAAACCAGAGAATCAGAAGGAAATCAATGCGAGAAATAAAAATGTAATTGAATTTTGTGAAAATCATAACCTCAAGTCTCATTTCAGTTGGCTTCTTTACCAGAGTTTCTTGTATATAAAAAAAAAAAAAAAAAAGTGGAGGAGGCATTACACCTTCGCAAATAACTTAAGAGGACAGAAACCATCAAATCATACAAATCTCTAAGAAAAAATTTATCTTTCATTTTTCTGTCCACAGGAGTTATCTAGGATTTTTCTAAAAAAAAACTCTCAGAGTTTTATGAGAATATTAAAACCCAATATTGATAAATCTGAAGGTTTTTTATTTGTAAATAAAGGCTTAAAATATTAAAATTTTCAAACAGATGGAAAGAAACTTACTTTACAAGATAATATCACTGGATCTTTTAATTCATCCTGACAAATAGGACAACTTTCTCCACGCTGTTTTATATCTTCTGATGATGGCTTACCACCAAATACCTACAATTAATATAGAAATAAACTGAACAACCCTCACCATACTGTTTTATATCTTCAGATGATGGCTTACCACCACATACCTATAATCAATATTGAAATAATATAAATAAGACAACTTTCTTCACGCTGTTTTATATCTTCTGATGATGGCTTACCACCAAATACCTACAATTAATATTGAAATAAAATAAATAGGCCCACTTTCACAAAGCTGTTTTATATCTTCTGATGATGGCTTACCACCAAATACCTACAATTAATATTGAAATAAAATAAATAAGACAACTTTCTCCACGCTGTTTTATATCTTCTGATGATGGCTTACCACCAAATACCTACAATTAATATAGAAATAAACTGAACAACCCTCACCATACTATTTTTTATCTTCTGATGATGGCTTACCACCACATACCTATAATTAATATTGAAATAAAATAAATAAGACAACTTTCTCCATGTTTTATATCTTCTGATGATGGCTTACCACCAAATACCTACAATTAATATTGAAATAAAATAAATAGACCCATTTCACAATGCTGTTTTATATCTTCTGATGATGGCTTACCACCAAATACCTATAATTAATACTGAAATAAAATAAATAGGACAACTTTCTCCATGCTGTTTTATATCTTCTGATGATGGCTTACCACCAAATACCTACAATTAATATAGAAATAAACTGGGCAACCCTCACCATCTACCGCCAAATACCTATAATTAATATTGAAATAAAATAAATAAGACAACTTTCACCATTATAACTTCTGATGATGGCTTACCACCAAATTGCTGTTTCTATAACATGACTTCAAATCAGTATTAATTGGCTTATAATAGTCCCAGCTTGCTATAATTGATATTTAATTAAAGATAAATGAATGTAGAATCCTACTGTGATGTTATTATACACCATGTCATTTATTTGTCAGTGGCTTCAAAATGGTATATATGGTATCAAGAAAATAATTTAACACAGAACACAATGATACTCTCTATTAACCATTGTATATTAAACGGGAACAGTCAGCATTTTCAGGGATTGATTTGGGTCTTGAATGTGCTTTAATAGTCTTAAGAAGTACAAAAATGCACAAAAATCACATAATCCCAAATATATCTAAAACTAGAAATTTCACTGTCAATTCTATATACGGCATAGTTTCACAAAAATTTGAGTGAATAATTATGGATACACATGGATTTGAAGGCTCAAATTTCGATGATGAGCTGTGAACACTATTACTGATTATGTAAGCTAAAAAATTCCTGTTTTTGTAACTAAGGTATGATTGGTCGAACGGATAGTGAAAGTGTTCCTTTAAATTTGTGGTCATAATGTCATAGGTCTGTTTTATTAATATATTATTACATGCAGTTGTAATAACAACTTATTTTATCCAAAAACAAAAAGGACTTCCATAAATTGTAGGCCTTTGAAATATATATAACAATTGGCTATGCCTAGGACTAAAAGACACATGATATTGTTAATCTCTAGTGTAGACTATAATATGTAGGCCTGCCCTACTAAATGTACATGTCAGATATATCAAGGGGAATCAACTCTATTCAACCTAGCAATATGAAAAACATGAGTCTAGAACATTGATTATAACAAACTTATAACAAACAAATCATCTTCAAAAACATGTCAAAAGATAGCTAGCCAGGCAAAGGAATACACGCCCACTGGCAGCTTTGATTTTGAATAAAAATATTTAGCAGTACAGTAACAATCACCAGTATGAAATATTCAACCTTCAGTCATATACTTCTTCTGAACTCTTAGGGCGATACTGAATAATATTGAGTATGAGTTATTGCCCTAGTTCTTGAAAATGTGTTCAATTTTTAGCTCGTATCTGGCAAGTATCATGCCTTCTAGAGTTTTTACGAGCTACAAATTAAACGAGTTTTCAAGAACAAGGGCAATAACTCATACTCAATATTTTCGATTTTTTCTGATTTTCAATAGGGTTCATCGTTGATTGCGAACACTCACATCAAGTTTCGCCAAAATCCGTCAAGAATTGTCCCTTCTAGAGTGTTTACAAGCAAAAATTTGAACACGTTTTCAAGAACAAAGGGCAATAACTCGTAGTAAATATTATATTGATTCTTCTGATTTTCAATAGGGTTTATCCTTGGGTGATTACAAATACTCACACCAAGTTTTGTCAAAATCCATCAAGAATTGTGCCTTCTAGAGTGTTTACAAGCTAAAATTGAACGCGTTTTCAAGAACAAGGGCAATAACTCATACTAAATATTTTTCAATTTTTCTGATTTTCGATAGGGTTTATTCTTGGGTGATTACAAACACCAAGTTTCATCAAAATCCGTCATGAATTGCACCTTCTAAGTTCTAGAGTGTTTACAATCGTTTCAAGAACAAGGGCAATAACTTATAGTAAATATTTCATGTGGGCGTATAAAAATGTCTATGGCCAGTCCTGGACAAGAAGAGTCGAAGGGGTTGGTGATCATCAAGAAAATGGGTAGAATAAATAATGAAAAGTTGAACTTACATTGTGAACACGGAATCTTTGGAAAGCTTTTTGTAGATCTCTTATGGACATCCACACTATGTTGACCTGTAAGGAATAAGAATATTGTGCATGTGAATGAGTTAATGTTAAAACCCAAACTGAATTAGTTAATGGGTAAAGAAGTTTTCTGTAGCTTTATAGACTATGTGAATATAGTACAGTGGATATGAAGTGAAAATAGAATTGTAAACATTGACTTGACCTATCAGAAGTAAAGCTATGCAGAGAATATAAGTAAACAGTGATTGTAAAGATAGCAATATAGTTTGGGATTGTCCATACAATTTAAATAGAACTACTTAGCATCATTTTTTTTTTCTGTTGATATTTTTAGTCTATATTGTAATCTCAATAGCTTTCTACCAAAGGATTGTTGTTTTAAACCAATCAAAGCATGACAATTGTCTTCTGATTGGAGGGTGATATGTGTTTACGGTCAAAAAATTTGAAGGTGCTAACTGCTTCAAGAGGTAAATTTGGGGGATTTATGCTGCATACTACAAGTGACCGTTGGTACAAGTTTGACAGTATTAACTTCTATAATTCTCTATGGTATAAATATGGTATACCGCATCATACTTGTCTGTTCAAACCTTAATGCTTCCATTATACCAGTCTCATTGCTATGAATCTCAACAAACTTTGTCATCAAAAGGAATTTCATTAATCCAAGCATATGAATCAATATACTATACTTACTTTAAACAATAAATATAAAATAACTTCGAAAGATGCAAACCATTTGCCTGAATGTTGATCATCTGATAAGAAGTGCATCCATGGTATAATAGGTACTAACTGTCTATAACATTGTGATACATATTCTATAAACATATAATATTTACCCTGAAATACAATATCAAGTTATTACTTATCTTCTATTATTATTAATATTATCATTATACTTATCAATAAAACTTGTAAGATATATACACAAGAAAGAAAGAAAGAGAGAGAGAAAGAAAGAATGAAAGAAAGAAGGAAAGAAAGAAGGAAAGAAAGAATGAAAAAAAGAAGGAAAGAAGAAAAAAACTACATTTTACTAGGATAACAACTAAGTTTCACAAAGAAGGATCTTTCTACCAGCTGGTCCTTGGCCAAACCTCTTGGCATTAGATTAAATCTACCCATTTACAGCTGGGTTGACTGGAATCATGAGTAAAGATGACTTACAACAAATACCGCACATAAAAATGTTTGGATGGAATGGAGTGAAGGCTGTGGTGTTTTTATCTATTAGTTGGAAAAAACTCTTTACTTACCCTACGTTTGTGTTTAATGAGTTGATTTGGTAACATAGTTATAAAACATTTCAATATAACAGTTGAAAACTTGATCATATAATCATTGATTAATACAACCCATAATAACGTCCAAATATCAAAATCAGCTACATTTGGTGTTTGAAATATTAACCTAAAATAATAAATGCAGATATCAATTCAGTGTTTCAGTACAAATCTGTTTGAAAAAATTCCCGTTTCTGAGACTAAGGTACAATTGATAGAAAAAATGCAGTCCGCTGCAAGATTTGGTGTGGACATAAAATGTTATCACCAACTTTCATATCACTCAATATGAAACATTCTTGAACCATTACTAAAATTATCTTTCAATGCAAAAATCAGGTTAAGAATACTTACGATTTCCACAAAGCTTGTCCAGAAAACATATAGAACACAAATGAGATATTGATAGCTAAATATACAATTAATCCAAATAATTTCACTAAATTTCCTTTATTACCAGATTCCTACAAAATACATAAACCTTAAAAAACTGAGAGTGGGTCAGTTGTTTAGGGATTGTGTGGCGATGGACTCTAGGTGATGGTAGTGTGTTTTTTTAGGTTCTCTGTTAATCTTTCTAAACTTAAAAAAAACTTCAATAATATAACAAAAACCATAGTAGGATATTCAAGTCATTCATTAAAACAAACAAGAGAAGTCAACTTTTGGGGAAAAAAATGGGAACTGAAGCAAGTTAAAATTGACCAACTGTGTCATCAAAGTATGGCCAAATTGAATTGGTGTACTGTTCATGACAAGGGGATCAGAAAAATTCGGGCGCTTAAGAAAATACAAAAATTAAATTAGCTAAATAATCAAGCTAAACTGTAATCAACATTTGCTTCTCTAATAATAAATTTTTTTGGAATGTGGGAAAACGAGTATTTAGTATAACTATCATAGAGCTGATGGACAATAACAATACAATAACTTACTTTAACTAAAAACTGATGGATGCTTGACACTAATCTCTGATTTACGTAATAAAATGTTCCACCAAGAGCCAAGAAGATCAACAATCCTAAAATTGAAAATGTTTGAATGGATGAATTCAGAACATTGGGAATGTAGTATAAATGTAATGAAATAAATGACACTTAACGACCTCCTTTTCTACATTGTCATTTAGTGTGCAATGAGAGACATTTTGACCAGGACAGTGGCATTGACCTAAGTTTATTTCACTTTCAACTTTTCAACAGCCTGTAGCAAAAGGTGCCTAAGTTTATTGTCCCATCTAAACACTAATGCTTTTCCATGTCAGCCCCTCTGACCTGCATCACTGAAAAGGGGAAACCATGATTAAAAATTTGAAGGTATTATTATTTAAAATAAGTTGGCAAGCTTCAAACTCAGTGGAGCTCCTGATTATTGTTGGTATTAAACTGGAATTTTCATTGCAAGGATTTACTAATATATGGTAGCAAACCTGTCACAAATAGAAATGAAAACTCACCTAATCTATGATCATACATTAACTTCAAAAAGAGTAGAATTATAAATATTCCACAGTTCTGTAACCTATTAATCAGCAGACGCCAATCTAGTTGACCATCAGCACCTGTTACTCCAGGACCTTCATCTGGTGGACTAGGTGGTCGTGGACGTTCTTCCATGGGGTGCATACTAGCTAACTGTTGTTGTAAATCAAAGCGTGGTATATTGATGGGTGGACCAGTAGGTGAGTTTGGAGTGTATAAATTAGGTTGATCTAACATGTTAATAGAAACTTGGTGATCACGAGCTGGTGTAGTAGAAGGTAAATGATGATACCTAGGATTAATTGGTCTATTTATGTTACCTGGTAAATTAGGTAACAATCCTCTGGCCATGTTCGATACATTGAAGTTTCTAAGATTTCCAAAGCGAGCAGAAAAGTTGTCCTGTAAACTGTTTCCAGCATTAGGAGGTTCTCCACTCATTACTACAGATCTATTAGCTTGCAGGTAGGCCTACCCTGGAATAGAAAAAACAAATTATTAAGTATTTCTACCGGTATACTTGATTCCCATATTCACAGACAGAAAGTGCATTTACGTTAATTTGAGGTTATTTCTCAACTAATATATACAAAAAGAATTTCTACATTCTTAATCACTTATAATTCTGGCCACGTATTCTCGAAATGATCTTAGTGCTAGGATGTCCTAGTTTCTTATCTTCTAACATTGATTCTAGGATATCCTAGCGCTAAGATCGTTTTGAGAATGCGTGGCCTGAATTGCATGTTTCTTATTTCACAAATATACGACACCCAAAACAAATACATGTATTATATTTTCATGACTATATAGTTTTTGTACCGCTGGATTAAACTAATAGTTTGTCAGTTCTACAGCATTTTAAACTTCATTCGGTAATTTTCAGCCCAAATGTCATTTAAACGTTCATACTAAGTAAGAGGGAATTGTTTCTGGTGCTTCCAATGTAAAATGAAAATGATATTTCTATGGATACAAAGACATTCTGAGACAAATAATTTTATGTTGAAGATTAACCATTTCCATTTGTGATAAAAATCGTGTCCGTTAAGCCGTTCGGATTAAATCAATGGCTTTCTGCCTGCTGACTTTCAAAACGTATGCTGGAAGAGGTTGGGAAAAAATTCGCAAGACATTGTCATTGGAACCTAAATTGGGTATGACATTAACAAATTATATATGCTATACGATAGGTTAAGTTACAGTGTTTGATTCAGATGAAATCCACTATGTGACTAGGTTTTATAACTCAGCTATCTACTTTTTAAGTTTATCGACTCATTCTGATTGTAAGTGTAGAATTGTAGACTCTTTTTCTTGATTAATGACTTCACAGCCAATAAAAGATGATTAACCATACACTTTCATTTTCAAGCAAGGTTTATTGTTATTACTAGTAGTTTAATCTATCAAGTATCATATTATTTTTTTAGTACGGTAATTGTTTTGTTTACGTGACACATAGTTTAGACAGATAGGGTTACAATGTTACATTTTCTCAAACATTGTGTCACTCATGGCCGATAACAGCGAATGGCCTACTGTCATCTGTCTTACCGTGTTGTAAATAAGGACTAACTGTTCTGAAAGATTCCAATTTCACTTTCAACTTATATTTTAGATCTTGTGTTTACAAAGTCATGTTCTCAGATCACTGTTCCGTATCTTCAACTCGGGTTACTCTTGTCAACTTATTCGTAAGAAAGACACGATTCGCTTAACTTATGAATGTAATTTCCCAGTTCCTGCAAAGAGGATTTATTCATTGTTTCTATTATGGAATAACCGGCTAATACAATTTTGATTTGATTTGATTTGGACCTGCGTTTCGGGTCATTTCCACTCGAAACTCGACACGACGAGACTGTAATCGAATGCAGACTATGTACGAAGCCAATTCTTTTATTTTCGAACTAACTGATTATCGTCTATGCTGCATTTGACTGCCTTTTTCGTTAAGGACATAAGAATTAATTGTTCTATATTTTAAATATATATTACCCTCAAATTGTTAAAAAAAAGAAAAATTGCATGAAATTTTATAAGATATTTTACGAAACTAATCGTTAAGCTCAGTATGTCCTGTTTACGATACCAATGTTTGGTTTTCGTGTTTTACGAAAACGTTGGGTTTTATTCCTTATTTTGTTCAGTTCTATAATTTATTTCCTCGTTGCTACTTTTTCAAAGGTAAGCCATAAAAACTGAAACCAAATTGTTACATATATTTTATCCCGATCGCTAGTTTAGTCCCTTTCATAAGTCCCCACCCACCTCTCCTCCTCAGCCAGTGCCACCACTCCACTCTTGCAAGGCAAGGGCACTGGCACAACACTTAGAGTATTGACATTGGCTCATTATTCTAGGATCATAGTATTTTCAGAAGTTGAGGATTCAATTTTTGTCTATTTTTGAAAGAAGAAGAATTCAATTTCAAAGTAGAATTTTGATTGCATGGCAATTGTCTAAATAGAATTTGATTAGGCCTAATTAGCCGATATACAGATCTTGTTTCATTTTTCTATCATGTTTCCCTTTAGTAGATGGCTCAGTGACTTTGACACTTGCTCACTGACCAGGGCAAGGATTTAGACTTGGCATTTGTTGAGATACCTTCAGATTTTCAAACCGGTTTCCCCCTGTTAGGGATACAAGTCACAGGGGCTGAAATGTAAAAGGGGTACAGATAGGACAATAAACCGAGGCATACCTTCAAAAAGCAAAAGTTACCATAAAGTTAGTATTTTTTGGATAACCACTTAAGTTTGGAAGATTTGGAAAATTATGAACATTTTGAAACATTAAATCACCTTTATTTTTTTCAGACAAATGACTTGATATTAGAAGAATATGAATCAAGGAGAACACTTCGACAACCATTCCAATGGCAGCCAAAAATATCAGATGAAATTGAAGTGAATGATACAATCAAAATCAAATGTCGTAATTCCGTCCAGGGTAGAAAATATATTGTTGATGAAAGAGGTAAGCCTTTATAAAGCCGTAAATTTTGTTCAAACAGTATTTATATTCAAACGCCTAGTTTAAGTGGTTTCAAAATTTAGAAAACCTCTTTACAATTCATTTAATAGACCATTACAGTGAGTAAAATTTGGATGAATTTTTGTATATTTCAGGATATTGTTGTCACAGACGGCATTTAGACTCCAACCGTTGTTGTGATAATAAAGAATCGTCTGCTGTGAGGTATAATTGTGAAAGTTGTCATAATAATGGTTGTTGTATAATATATGAACACTGTGTATCTTGTTGTTTACAACCTGATAAGGTAATCTAGGCCTAATTCTCACTTTCAGAATTGAACATTTTATTTGAAGTAGTTTAAACGAAATTGATATTAAAGTAGCAACCCTGTGTTCTAATGTATAATAAAAAGTAAATGTTATATGCTGACATGAAATGTGGAGGAGCCGCGGTGGCTCAATGAGTTAGGAGCATGCTAACCTGAGGTTGAGATAATACGTTCAGATTTTTCAATCCGGTTTACTCCCTGTCAGTGATGCAGGTAAGACATGGTTAACATGGAAAATGTTTCTAGTTGTTTGGATGGGACAATAAACCGAGGCCCTGTGTGCTACAGGCTGAAAATCAGAAAAGGCCTTGGCGCTAAGATGTCCAAGGTTCTTATCTTCTAACATTGATTCTAGGATATCTTAGCACTAAGATCGTTTCGAGAATACATGGCCAGGCTAATGCAGCTGTCTTGGCAAAATTTCTGTCATTGCACCCTGCATGGCACTGCCTGTCCTCATTAGCCTACATGGTGCATTTCATGAAATGTGGAGCAAATACTAGCATTGACTATGTTCATCTGTCCATCTACAATCAAACACACTTGATGGTATAGTTTGTGAAGAATTCGGACAGAATTATTAATTATCACTTATAGATAGAAATGGACAAAACTAAATGCCAATTTTAAACTCAAAAGTATAATTTGTAGGTGGAACAGGGCAAATGAACATTCAGTTGTTATGATAATGGGCAAATGAACATTCAGTTGTTATGATAATGGGCAAATGCACATTCCGTTGTTATGATAATGGTCATATGAACATTCAGTTGTTTTGATAATGGGCAAATGAACATTCAGTTGTTATGATAATGGGCATATGAACATTCAGTTGTTATGATAATGGGCATATGAACATTCCGTTGTTATGATAATGGGCATATGAACATTCAATTGTTTTGATAATGGGCAAATGAACATTCAGTTGTTATGATAATTGGCAAATGCACATTCCGTTGTTATGATAATGGGCATATGAACATTCAGTTGTTTTGATAATGGGCATATGAACATTCAGTTGTTTTGATAATGGGCAAATGCACATTCCGTTGTTATGATAATGGGCATATGAACATTCAGTTGTTTTGATAATGGGCAAATGAACATTCAGTTATTATGTTAATAGATAAATGAACATTCAGTTGTTATGATAATAGATAAATGAACATTCAGTTGTTATGATAATAGATAAATGAACATTCAGTTGTTATGATAATAGATAAATGAATATTAAGTTGTATATGTCGATATTCTCTGACCCTGCTATCTAGAATGAGAAGATTGTGAAATGTTTATACTTTCAGCAACCATTGTTAAGTAAGATATTGAGAGATAGTCGAGATTCTAAGAACGAACCCTACAACAAATTATTTGAATTAGTTGAAGACCATTTTGAGCTCTGTCTTGCCAAGTGTCGAACGTCTTCACAGGTAAGTTTTTGCACTGCGTTTTAGGAAATTTAAGAGAAACCAATTATCTGATAATGTTATGTTATTGTGGTGTTTGGTCTTTATGAGCCTGAGTTTTATCAAGAACTGATCTTGTATGTCATCTAAGGAAACTAAGTGATCAATTTAGATTGACAAATTTGATAAGCAATGTTCCAGTTGACTTCAGATTAGTCTTGCTTCTTAAGGTTATAGAAACCACCAAAACTTTGATTGAATTCCCAGACCTTCATGATCAATTTTAATTTTGGCTTATCATTAAAGATATTGGATTGAAAAGGGGTCATTTTTATGCTCAAATTGCTGTGCAATACTGGTTAAATTGAACCCTGCTTTTAACAAATTTTATAATGGCAAAGTTTCCTTCTGTGCTTGTTATGGAAAAAAGAAGGGTGGAGGTTTCTCTAACAGACTGTCTGTATGGTAAATCTTATCATACTTTTGAGCAGTGTTGGCTTAACTGGCATGAGCCTTGACAGCACAAACACCTCTATTAACCATTTCAGACCAGCACAATATTTTTAAAAATAAAATTTTAAAAACTTAGATCACGTACTAGTAGCTTGTAGCGAAGATGTATACATTAGATTATTAGGAACAGAAGTTTGCTTATCTCAAGGGGATTTATCTCTGTGTATTTATGTCTATTGAATATCGACCCCTGGCCAGGATGTGCGAGGTTACTGTCAGTACAATTTAAAATGACCCACACTGAGAAAGAGCTGGTGACAACCTGGCTTTTGAGTCTAATATTTTCTATTTGCTAATTATTTTGCATTCCATGACAACCAATTACTGCCTATGACACTGAGTTTTATTCAATTTTTCATCTTTTTTTAAACTATTTTCAGAGTGTACAACATGAGAACTCTTATCGAGATCCAAGAGCCAAGCATTGTTATGGTGAAACACCACCAGACTTACAATCAGTTACTGTATGACACCATACTAAACAGTATTCCTAGTGAACAAAATATACATTTATATCTGTGATGACTATGTGACTATAGACAAACATTTGAAAGCTGTATATAATTTTAATATTTTAAATGTTGTGATGGTACAGGACACAGTATTACTTTGATTACACCAATTAATGTGTATACAGAACTTCAGTGTGTAAATTCTAAGTGTTTTTGTGTGGACATTTTACTAAGTTTTGTTATTATTTTTACTGTGTTTTCATCTGTTATTGTCCCTAAGCCGTGATAATCAGAATATTCTTCTCTTTGGATAATTAGTGAAATAGCTATATAGAGACAACAAAATGGGTGATATTAAAATAAGTATTGAAAAACCTTTCAAGAAAGCATGGATCAATTCTTGTTACCAACAAACATTGCTGCCAGGTTCTCCATGGCATAAGGTTAGTGAAATTTTATTGTGCATTTAAGCAGTTCCATGGTATAAACAACAGACGCCTTTACCATTTCTCACATACAGTAAAGGACATATTAGCTAAAATTCATATTGTGTTTTTTTAATTTGTACTCGAATTACTTTTTAAAGGTTCACTGATGCTTTTATGTGCATGGAACTCTTAAAGCTTTCATTTATTATATTACATTTTCATATTCATTTGTTAGAATCTAATAGAATTTAATCTCTAATTGCTCTCTAAAAATGATTTATGAAATCTGCTTGTTTTTTCAGCTAGAAGCTAAGCTAGCTAGAGAATTAGCTAACAGAGTAGAGAAACAATTTGATCATTTAGAAAGAAAAGAAATGCTGTTAGATTTACTTGGTAATCAATTTGTACAGGAATTTCTACCTAATGTTCAACGTAATCCAACATTACTGGTTTGTATTTTGTTATTTCTATAGTGAAAAAATATTTACACTGTTAAAATAGTGCGATATAGAAAAGTTAAAACAGAACCTGGAACATGTTGTTACTCAAAGTAACGCACTGCAACAACTGACCTATTTCAGCCTGCGTCGCTACCCTACGCAATATATCAATTGCAGAGCGATATAGAAAAATTAAAACAGAACCTGAAACAGTTTATGCTTTGCTATTATAAGATAACTGACCTATTTAGATCAATGTCAACTGAAATATTTTTCGTTTTTTCATTTATATTAATTTCCAATTTGCTTATAAAGTATTCACTTTTGTTATACACGAAAGATGATACACTTCTGTACATAAATTATTTTTTTTTTGTCAATTATTTCAGACGATAAGATACTAGTTATCATGTGATTTTTGACCTTTTGTCCTGCATATCAGGGATATTTGCAGTTGAGCTTATAAACATAAAAGATTGCATGAAAGACTTCTGAAACAATTGTTTTTGTTTCAGGAACCACCTAATTTAAGTTATGAAAGTCGTCAGTTATTGTATGTGGAGGCTCAGGGTTGGTTGAATAGTCAAATGTATAAAACAGTACGAGAACTTGGTTATCAAAATATGTTGAATGGCAACTCTTCTGAGTGAGTTTTTTGCAATACCGGTAACACCATATTTATATGCCCACAATTGGAGATAAACAATTATTCAGTCTTTTCCCTCCCCAATGGTGATAAGGTCTTGTAGATTTTATTTTTGATTTTTCTATAAAAGTTATTGCCCTTGTACTTGGTTTAAACTAGTAGTTTGTAGTACAGACAGCTATGAAATAGCTGCTGTTTTGACATTTAGCTATCGATGTGACCACTCCCCCTGTAACCCCGCAGGTGCTGCCCCTAGAAACTAACTGCCAACCTCATTTTATTGTCTAGGCTTAGAAAAAGAATTTCTAATTCTTTTTTCAGAGATGAACCCCCATCTGATTTTACTGATTTTTTACAACATACATTTAGTGTGTTTAATGATGGTTTAGATAGAGAATTATTCATACAGGAAAAAGACTTAGCTGTAAGTAACCTTCTTGAATCACTGTTACGACCTGCAAGTTCAGAGTTCAGTCCTTGCATTATTAAAGATTTTTCTGGGCAGTTTCTCCCAGAACATATGGCGTAGATCTCTGTTCAGATTAAGGGATGTAAAGCACCATTTCAATAGCACTAACGTTATTTTGGTTGGATTGATTGCATTAGAAAACATGCCCAAAAAAGTCAGACTTAACTAACCTTTAACAAATGTAACCAAAAATAATCACTGCAGACGTCACACAAAAACAGACTGATGTTTGAATATCAAGTATCAGAAAAAGTAAAAGCTTCCTTTCAATTTACGATAATAATAATAAGGACATCAGAGTACAGTGTATTTATATTGTTTCGTAGTTTTGTATTGAAACTTCTAGACTAAAACTTCTTATTTTTATTGGTTTCAGGCAAAGAAAAAACATCAACTTGATCGAGACAAAAGAAGAAATGAAAATAAGTTTATACCTAAACCTAGTAGATATAAACCAGTGTCTAGTGCATCATTAGATACCAATACATCATCTAAACCCTCTTCTAGTCAAATTAAAGGTAAATATCAATATCATGAATACAGAAAATACCTGTGTTAACAAAGCATTTTGGTTTCACAATATTTAAAATGTTTGATGAATGAACATCTCCAGAATCTTGTTAAGGGAAAAAAAATGACATTTTCATGTGTTGATTTGGGTCTTTAATATTATAAATGTAAATAGCCTTCAGAAGAACTGTAAAACTTCAAAATATCTGTCTAAATATACTTCCAAGTTTCACTTTCTATTTCTATCTTCACTGGTTTCTCCCCTGCCTGAATATTACTACATCTTGTTGACAAGGTCTTTATGAAGAAATGTGGTGAACACATCAGTGCTTGGTATAGTCAATCATGTCACGATACGATATGAATCACGATACATAGATCAAGATAAGATACATACCGCGATATGGGGTAATGGGATAAAAATTAACACTTTATCTTCAAAGTTTCTATATATATTAACTCATAACTTATAACTGTGATATTTGGTAATATAGTTGATAGAAGTGTTTAGCATCCACTGTCTTATAAACAGTTTCTAACAATTTCAGTGAAAAAAATTGTTATATCATAAACCAACTTATAAAAATCCGCACTTTTCAATGGAATAAAAGGTATCCCCAAGTATCGATACACAATGTTGCGATACAATACGTGTATTGTGGCTAGTTGTATCGCGATACATGGATTCAACGATATATCGTGCGAGCACTAGTACACATGCCACAACGGAAATGGCCTCTCAACTAAATCAATGTAATGTCAAGAACATTCAACCTTGAGCGAAATGAAAGCAAAAGTTATAAAGATATTTACCCATGACCTTAACCACATGGCTGGGTCCAAAGAAAAGACAAGTCATCAATGTAACTTTTAAAACAAGGATAAGTTTTATAACTTTTGTCTTGTACCCATGACACCACAACATCAAATCATTGAGCTTTTTAAATCCATGAATCTTCTTCTAGCCATGGTACAGAGAGTTGAAGGTGATCCTCCACCATTATGGGGTAAACAGAGTGATGAAGTTGGTGATTCAGTTTTAGCTATATTACAACATGATCCAAGGAAATTTGAACATGTAGCAGGTAGATTACATGGAAGACAGTTACCAGGACAACTAAGATCTTATATGTGGGCTGATATTCTCTTGAAAATGGAACGCAAAAAATTGAAGGACGTGTAAGTTTTTAATTCTATTTTAACACCAACTCAGTTTTGTGCATTTATCGTCAGTTGTTTTCAATGTCATACTTTGTTACTAAAAATTATAGCTTCAGTGGGTCCTTTAAAGATGGGTTTCCTTATTTTTTAGTGTCAAATTAAGGAAACTGTTTGATTAATTGGTGTTTCTAATGAATTATCATGTATTCTTAATCATGTGATTATGTTATTGCATATTATTAAGAGTTTTAACCAATCATGAATGTCCATATATGTGCAGTCTGGATAAACAAAAACATACTTTTTGACTCATTGGAATTCAGCTGGTATTTCTCTTCTAATTTAGCTATTTATGAATTAATAAACATGTGAGACAAACTGGTATTTTTCCAAGTCATTAGAACACCTCTAGTTTCTATTCATATAAGTATTAGCATTTTCATTTTAATAAATGAAAATAAGGGAACCCATCTTTAAAGAAATAACATGACTAAATATGACTTCACTATCCTATTTGTGATAGCATTCCGGAACCACCGAAGTCTGACCTGAAATTGTATTGCTGCAAATGGAAGCTATAAGTGTACCATATGCTCTAACAAAGAATAGAAGCAATGGCATACAATATTGATTCAGATCTCAGAGTCAAGAGTTCTCAAGTGATCAAATGGTATAAATAAAAGACACTGTTCATTATGATTCATGCAAAACATATGGAATTGTACAACCTGTGTGCAGCATATAGAAAAAATCTCCAATGAGTTAAATAGAGTAAAATATTGTAGACTGAGAAAGGTGTTATCAAAACATGTTTCTGTTTTAGTAATGCTGAGAAATATGTAAGAGAAAGATTTGGTAGAGCAGTATCAAGAGGGTTAACAGATTTACATGTACAGAGAGCAACACAGTCACCTATTAATGGGTTAATACAGAATGCTGTTATTGAGGTAGGTTGTAAAAACAATTTCACAATAGCCACAATAGAAAAGTGATTTGAGGAATAAAAATTATAAATCTCTAGGGAATTGTACAATTCTGCATCAAACAGTGAAAAACAAATTCTTAATTTAAAACTATTAGAGTAATCTTAAGATTAAGGTATCCTTGTGCATACTAATACACTTAAAAGAGTCCAATTATCACCTTTCACAAAAAATTGATTTTGTGGCGTGTATTATCAAGATGCTAAGAATATGTACAAGATATAAATTAATTTGACTTCATTTCAATATGTTTATTTTGCCAATATCTCTCCACACTTTGACGACTGAGGTTACATATCCTAATTTGCATGAATGTATTAAAGTCAGGGTTGTTGATTTATTCATTATTCAATGACCTGTTTCCCCTTGATCCAACTCTTGGTTTCCTTTGACATTGTTGTATATGGATGGCCACTCAGTGTAGGTCCACTGTAAGTCCAAAGAGATTATTTAGTTTGTTTTAATGTCATGTCCGGTTCAGATTCAGAATGTCTTCGATTTTCGTCCCAAGTTCTTTCAATGTAAATGGGTTAGTCCTCTTCCAATCATAACAATCTTTCGTTTCAATTTCAGACGTATTCTAAGACAACTAGTATGGTAGCTTATAAAGGCATGAATCATTTAAAAGAAACAGCTAGAGTATTGAATATATTGTATGTATATGATAGAAGTTATGAACCATATTTAATACATTGGCTATTTCCCTTACAAATAGCATTCCGTGGTAAATCTGATACAGTCATTGATAGAAGTAAGTATTGTAGTTGCCTCTGGAAAGAAACTTCCTTATTTATGGCCCAAGAAAGTTTGGATGTATCTTCGCCTTTGGCCCATTCATCAATATCTTTTCTTAGTTTTCATATAATTCTTATGAAATTTTCTACCCAGTGAATTTAGATTTACAAGATCTTGAACTAGTTCGAATTAGGCGATGTTGTGATAAACACTTGTTATGTCTGATTTTAGGCCTGATCTATGGGCTGAATGTTAGACAGGACCATGTCACTGGTATTTTTGAATAAAGTGATTCTAGTATTATCCTATATGCTTGAAACTTGGTATGCTTATACAGATTGAGATGAGTTAAAAGTTGAAGTTGTTTCAATGAATGGTTTTTGAGTTGGTGAAAATGTGGTTTGTTAGTATAAAAAAGATAGAGTTTTCTTCAGATTTGGATGAAATTATTTATGCTAATGTGGTTTGATGAGTTCTAGGATGAGCTTGAAGGTGTATTTGTATTGATGAATGTAACAAAATATTCTCTTTATCTATTACAGCTGGACATGCTATGGATTTATCAATGTATTTAGATTTATTGAATACTAATTGTTTTCCAAAATGGCCTGAAGTGTTTGCTATAGCTGAACAAGTTATGTCTGTACTACAGAAATCAGATCCTGAATTATATAACCACCTGCGTACCATTTCTAGAATTAATGTTCAATTTAACCCTAAGGTATGTACAAGCTAAAGTTAATAAACTACCAGAGATTACAGTGCAAAATTAAAACTGTAAGCCTACATGTAGTATTTGACCAATGGGGACCTTCCTAGATTAAAGATATTCAGTGAGTTACATTCTCTGGGTTTTGAATAAACTGCCACTTAGAGCGTTAAAATCTTTAAATGACACTGTGTGGTTATGTCATTGAGGTTGGGTATCGATTACCAAATTGAGATCAATCATCGATGGCAGACTACCAATCAATAATCAATTAATAATCGAAATAATTCAGTATTGAGAAAACCTGTAACTATTAAATTAAAAACATGCCAAAATTCTTAATTTCATGGGTAATATTTGCTTCATAAAAGTTATATTCTTGCTTTGATTTTACCCAGCCTAATCTTAATCAAGGGATCAATTATATTGATTTTGTTCTTTAAGGAATTTCTGGTTCAAATGATACATGAAGAGAAGGCTAAGGCAGAAGCTATATTGAAGGCTACTGATCCAGGTGCATCAAGAGATGAGAGTATGTCAACTGAGTTATTAGCTGATCCTATTATTTTTATTAGACGGTGGATAGGAGAGGTAAATAATTATTTTATATTAATGATAATATTAATAAACTTTATTTAAATGGGTCAGCATTAGATTCTAGTTTTTTTCAACATCTGATTTTAGTACCAAATAAAGTAAAAATTCTTTTCAATTAAAGATGGGTAACATTATTTTTATATGCCCACATGAAATGGGGGGCGTATATTGTTGTCACCCATGTTCATCCGTCCACGATTGCTAGTAAACACTCTACAAGGCACAATTCTTGACTGATTTAGATGAAACTTGATATGATTGTTTGAAATCACCCAACGGAACCCTGCTGAAAATCAGAAAGATATTTAGTAGAGTTATTGCCCTTGTTCTTGAAATGCTCGTAAACACTCTAGAAGGCCCAAAGGAAAATAATTTTACTACCTTCATTGGTTAGTGGTCAAAACTAAAGGAAAATCTGCAATTTTTGATGGTGATCTGTGTTAGATTGGTTGTAATTTTAATTTTTATATATTTTTTTTAACAGGGATTTGTTAGTGTTTTAGACACACCAGGTGTAATGTATGTTTGGGATCAGTGTTTTATGCAGGGTTGGACACATACAGTATTACAGAATACATGTCTATCTTTATTACAATTGTTACGTCACAAGTTTATGACAGTTGAAGATTATATGGGTATGAAAGAGGTAAGGTGATTTAGTTTTACAGAAAACCTTGAAAGGAAATCATTTACCAGTAGTTACATACATAACAGCACCTTTTATCATCCTTTTTATGTGGTACAGTAGATGACAAGTTAATGTCTGTTTCCAGATAATTGATATCACAGACTTCATGAGTATTTTTGTTGATGTATCAACATTTCTTAATTAGACGCTATAGTTTTCATCTGATGTATGGTATGGACATGTAGGATGAACAAGTTCAAAATTGACATTGTTTCAATGAACAGTTCAGAGTAATTGCCCAATCATCAATAAACTCAGATTAATAACATGTTTAAGGTCCGGTTTTAATATTTGCAAATAAATATGAATATATTTCTAGGTATTCCTTATTGAACCATGTAAACTGTATACAGCTGATGTTCAGGCCTCATGGATACATTTAGAAATAGGTAAACCTTTAACAGAGGTACAATATCTTAACAGACAAAGACCAAGGTAAGCATTACTATTGGCATCAAAGACATTCTATGTTATATGATAAACATTTGAAGATGTTAAGGTGTAATTTGAAGGAGTAATTGCATGAATTGTATGACAAAACCTTCAAATCAATCTGTACATGTAACATTCTGGCTCTTTATTTTTCAAGTTCACCATCAGGAACAAGAAGTCCTTCAGTACATCCTGCAAGTCCTTTTCCTGGTATATTGCAACCTTGTGGTATTAAAGGTGTTCGTATAAAGTTAATTATACCATTAGAAATTGTACAAAGGGTGAGTAGAAGAGTTGTATATCATAAATCTATGAACAGTTTTGAAGAGGATTGTTTGAAAGCATTTGGAGTTGTGTGGGCTGCTTTTGAAAACCACCCTTGTTGCCAAGAATTCCACTTCACTTCACACTCAAAAGGCTCAAGGCATTCATATTGTATTTTGAAGATATTGTCAATTACAAAGTTATTTAGAACTGTAATCCACTTAAACAGAAAGCACCTGGCTATGTCTTTTCCATCTTGAATGCTCCAGGGTGGCTAATGGATGCATTGTTCAAGGTGTGGTTATGTGAATGTAGTGTCACATTTTAAAACCTTTCCCTACCAAATGGTATACTGTGTAGGAGAAAAAGAATCTTCCAAGTTGAAGTTCAACCTTTTGTTTGCAGGAACCCTGGTTATTAAATGTGAAGGCTGAGAATTTAAAGCTTCATTCAGCTATTTATTTTGGTAGTATAAGATTGAGATCAAGGATGAATCTGACTCCAGCTAAAGTCAATCGAACCTCCAGGGATAATTTTGGTAATTCCATCTACCAGTTGTCCTATCCTCAAGAAAAGTTTGTGTATGAGGCTTTGGATCTCTTGGAGTATGATGTTGAAAGAGAATTAGGAGCTTCACCATATGCTATATTAAGATTAGAGTATGATTCAGTACAACAGAGTCAACAAGGTATGAACAATTTGTTATGGATGACTTGATTTTTAAGTTACAATTCACACACAGCTATGTTGGTTGTATTGAATCAACTCTTACAGCAAAATAAGATTTACTGTCTTTCTGATTACAGTATATTTGTGTGTATAGTGCACAGTTTTTGCCCTATAATTAAAAGGGCTTGCTAACTGGATCCCCCAGCCTGTTGATGGGAGAATTAAAGAGAGAATGCAAATTTGAACCTTGCCCACTCCCATCTTTCTTAACCCATAGGGGGCAGAAATATTTAATGATAAGCTCAAATTGATTTCATATGCGTTGTTATTTATGATTGCAGGAAAAGCTCCAATATCAGTAGGTTGGGCTAGAGTACCATTATTTAAACGTGGTAGTAGAGGTGGCGGTAGAGTATCAACTGATTCCTCCTGGTCACTAGTATTAGGTGATACAAGTTTTACACTACATCCTGGACAAATACCAGATAGTCTGGTGTCATCTTCACACCCTATTACACCATCTCTACCATCATTCTCTACTGATAAAGATGAAGGTAAGTCTGTTCAGTGATATGTATAGCCAAAGGAATCTGGCCCAACCAATTCTTTTATCAAAGGAATTGTACGAAGGTATGGTGTGACAATATAATAGTCTAGTTGACGAAATTATGCAATTTTGATTGTTTTTTGTTTTCATTCATGCACATGTATATTTTAGCTGATGTCCTAATTGGATATAATTCTGAACTATCTGCTGTTGTGTATGATCCTCGCAATGAACCACAGTCTGCTAGCCCTGATCCTTTTACAAGTACAGATAATATAACGACACCAGTTCCACCACATGATACCAGAAAACAATCTCCAAGGTAAGTTAAAATTTTATGAAACTGAAGATGTCATTGCCATAAATGTGTTATTAGATGTACTTTATGTTGTCAAACATTTAGTACACTACTGCTTGGAAGGGACTTTTCAAAACAGTTGAATTTTTAAACCTTATTTTATTGATTAGGAAACCAGAACCTAGAAAGCTATTAACACCAGAATCTGATCCTGTTGTAAATCTACCTCCAAGAAGACCAGATCCAGTTCTACCACCAGCAGCTGTTCATCAACCTAAACAACATCCAACTCAAAAACCAGAACCAATCATCAAACCAACAGCACAGCCAACCCCCACACCACAACCAACATTATCTAGAACTAGTTTAAGAGAGGAGTTTAAACCATGGGTAGAACATCAGCCCCTTGCTGCAGCAGACAATCCTAGCCCTATATCTGTTAAAGATGCTTTTGATTTATATATTGATCAAGTTCGATACATACCTGATAATGCTTCTATTGTTAAGGTGCGAGACAGTGGTGTTTCTATCATTAAGTTCTTAAGTGAGACCCTCTTGACAATTCTATGGACTCCACTCACCCTCCTACCTTGTGATCATACATACGCCAATCTTAAGAGAGGTTTACGATTGTTCTTGTAAATTCTTTGATGTATTCTCGTGTCACTAATATAACTAAATTGATGCCACAGCCCAAATGTCTTGGTGATAGGGAAAGAAACAATATCGGTGGAATCAGAAGTTTTTAGGAGAGTTCAAACCTCACAATACCTTATCGCAAGACAACATGCTAATACCTATATGTACAAAAGAGTTGCTATAAAGCTCAGTAGGAAAGTTGTTCATATCACTCAGTTTATGTGCATGTGAGATGAGACAGTAATTTTGATATTTTATTCTCTAAAATACTTTTTGCTACAAATAAGTGTCAATTTTATATTTTTCTAGGTGACAGGACGTGTTCTACAAACAGGTGATATAGACAAGTTAAATGATATTGCAGCTATACCCAATTTAGACATGTCAGCAAGATGTCCAGTATTTGACTATAGATTATGTATTAATTCAAGTAATAAGCAAGCTAGACAAGATATGCTGGTCTTATTGAGATGTTATACAGTAGATATTGTTCAAGAAACTCTCTGTGTAGTTGGAAATTGTTTGGTCCCTCTTTTTGATCAGGTATGAATCTGGATATGTTTTCCTTTTAAGTCTTAGTAAATTTCCAACAAACATGTGGTCCAACATTTCATTTGTTGTTGAGTTGAAGCAAAACATCATATTAGACCAAAATTTACGTTAATACATAAAATGACATTGTAGCATGAGAAAATATGACATTTTAGAGTTTAGTTGTCATGCAGCCATTTTCACAATCTGATTTGCAGGGCCAACACATGCAACTTGCATTGCTAGTTGGAGACATAAGCACATGTTTTAGATATTTTGTTTTTGGGGTTTTTTTTCTGAAAAGAAATGGTTTTAAGAAAGTTGAAATATTCAAAATATTGGTATACTATTTAAATTTGCAAAATAAAACTCACCCATTACTTGCAAGATAGATTTTCTTTAGATTCTCTTGAAAAATGTATGACTTCTGCCATAAAACTCTTCAATAAGAGAAAACCAAAAAGAGTATCTGGCACATTCTTTAAAGCTCACAAAAACATTAGTGGAAAATATTTTACAATGATTTATTTGAATTTGATACAATATTTTGTAGAATGGTAAACTATTGGTAGGTGGACATCAATTAAGATTAAGAGAAGGTCTTCCTGTTCAGAATGACAAGTTAAAAGCAAGTGATTTAGACCAACATATTGCTATACCATCTACTTCAATTTTGATAAGATTATTACCACATACTAAGGTAAGGATTAGTCAAAATGCTGGTGTTAAATTAGTACCAAATTATGCTATTTGCTATGTTGATTCTCTGAAAGTTGACAAACCCAGCTATGGAGTAGTCTCAGGTTTAAAGATTAATTGCAAGCACATACAAGTTAATTATGTTGAAGCCTATATGTATTTGTGCAAAATTTTGATGCTGTAGATTTGCTGGTTTCTGTGTTAAATGCACATTATTATCTCTGATGTTTCTTTCAGAATCCAATACCAGCACCAAAATATTCTCTAGGATATTATTTGTCTGAGCAATGTCGACCAAATGATTCAGAGAAAAAAATCTACACAAGTTATGGTATCCATAGAGCTTACCCTCAAACAGAGAGAGAAATGATCAAACGCTTACAACAAACTGAGAAAGTTAAAACTGGTAAGAAAATATCCTAATTTGGATTAATCACTTCCATAATTTTTCATAGGGTGGTATTTAATGTAATCTGGCTATAGCTATATCACACTCAATATTCTATAAGCATATTGGCCTACAATATATTACATGTATGTTGCAAAATCAACACATTGTTTGCAGTCAGTTTTAATCTAATATTTTTTTTGTAGGTCAGTCAGATAGGTCGCTGAGAGACTGGTTAATAGAGAGATTGGATATTAAGAAGCAATTATCCAGTAACGAGAAACCCCAATCATTAAGTTTAACCAGATGCGTTAGATATCGTGTAAAACAAGGCCTCAACATAAAGATCAACCAGGCATTTGGCTTAAAAGGTATTTGAGTATCATTTGCATGAAAGCTTCTCAATGTGTCATTATTTTAATCAAAAACAGTTTTAAAAGAAGTAGGTATTTTTAAAAAAACAGTCATTGCTGTCAGTAGGTATTTTGTCAACTTCTTGGCGCTCATTGTGCTAAATGCTGTGAAAATGATCTAACAACAAACTTTTGATTCCAATGTCAGCTAATATATTTTTGTAAAGAATTCATTGTGATTATCTGTGATTAATTTTCAGGAGATTATTATGTACACTGTTTTGCTAGAATAGCACCTGGTCGTAAAGTTTTAGGTATGGAACCTACTACTGAAGGTTTTGGTAAAGAAAGTAAATTTATAACATTAAAACATGATAATGAAAGTTATCTGATGTCACCTGTTTGGACTAGTCAACCAGAAGTAAGTGTACGTCTGTCTCAGGAAGTAATTGTAGGCCAGGGTAATTGGGGTCAATTTGGAAATTTTATTTTTTTGGAGGGTAATTAGGCACATAAAATGTTTTGACAGTTTTAAATTTAAATTGTCCTGAAAAGACTGAAGGGGAAAAATAGAGAAAATCATGCAATGATAAAGATTTATAGAGGGACTGGGAGTAATTAAAAGGATAATATTGAAAACCCCTGTTGTAGACAAATTGAAGGTCATTTGAAGATAAAGAATGATAAAATATGACAATGTAATTATTTTATTGTGGGCACCATTTTTGATAGAATTGTCCTCAGAAGCATAATTGTCAAGACATACGATTTTGGCATTCCAATCTTTTTCTAAATCCATAAGGACACAGATTCTTGGATTCCAACATTTTTCAAATTATTATTTGTAGAAGACTATGGTTTGCAAATGGGCACTTGTATGAATAAGAATGTAAAAGTGTATAAAAATCACACATAAAACACATACACACTCGTAAAGACTATTGGAAGAAAAAATGGATCAATTTGTATTTTAATATATTTCAGGGTTTGCATCCATTTTATGATCCATATAGTTGTTTGATCATTCAAATATTTGGTTTGAAATTAAAATATAAGGCTGAATCAAGCCATTCTAAACCAGGAGTTGTTACTGGGATGAAAGGCGAGAAACTCAATCTTGATATGGAGAATATTATAGGATGGTCTGTTGTACCAATATTTGAAGGGTATGTCTCATATAACTTGTTTTTTTCCTTGTGTTATGCGAAAAGTGATCCAATCCTCTCACATCTGATAGAATTAAGCTAAGATTCCATATACGCGTCATGCGGATGCGTCATGTGGACTTTGCGTCATGTGGCCCTTGAGAATCCGTCATGCGTCAAATATGATTCCATATGTGCGTTAAACTTATGTGTTATCTTTCTTTTGACGCACGGACTTCTAGACAGATGGATGCTTTGGTGCATAAAAAAGACAAGGAATCCCCACAAAATATGTCACATTTGGGAGATCCGGATGCGTTAAAAATCGCTGCACCCGGCGATTTTTTTTTAACGCATGACGCAGATCCTTTGATGGATACCGCTTCCGCATATATGGAATCATACCCTCTTAAACCAACCATTTCGATTTTTAACGCATGACGGATGACGGATCTGCATGACGCGTATATAGAATCTTAGCTTTACTTACCAAAATTTATTTCCTGAAAAATAAACTGTTGTCTTTAGAATATCACCTCTTATTGCTAGTAGAATATAATCATATTGTAAGCCTTGTATCACAAAGCATAGCCTGAGAAGATTAATTGGTAATAATTAAATAGAAGTCTTACCTAAGGATCTATCCTGAGAAATATTTTAGCCTGTTCAGATTCTGTTGGATTGTATAGATAATATTAAGCCTCAGGGCATTAAAAGTAGAAGTTGAATCATTATGAGAATGATTAGGAGAATTGCAGAAACTGATGGGGAATCATTCTGATCTATCAATAAGACTCTATTATATTACTGAGCCTTCTTATTCTCTATAATCTCAGATATTATCATCGTACCCTATTTAATGACTTGTTTTTTGTAGAAATTCAGTATTGACTGGGACACACTATGTACCAATATTTAAAGGCAATCCTACAGAAGAAATTTTAACAGAGATAACTAAAAATAGTGCTAATCTTGTCTTAAGATCTCAAACTATACCAAAAGAAAAATATGTAAGTAAATAATTCAATGTAACACAGTTGAATATAATATGGTCATTCTGACTGTAAAAACGAAAGTGGATCACATTTAACCCATTCATGGAATTCTGGTTTCAAACCAAAATTTTTCATTAAGTTTTATGAAAATTGGTTTAAAACTAGAAGAGCTGTGCTTTCAACATTGTTGCAAACTGTCATAGTTCTCCAGTTTGATCTGCATTTTGTTATCACATACCTCCACTACAAGTTTTATGAAAATTGTTTGAAAACTAAAGGGGCTATTGAATTTTTTACTTTTTAGAAAACAAAGGTTTAATACTGTTACAATTTGTCACAAATTGGCAAAGTTTTTGCAAGCAACAATTGCTTCAGTAGACATATGTTTTTTTTTAAATGTTGTAATACATCACAATTTCACTACCATAGAGTTTGTCAAATTTTGGTTTTTTTGTTTTTGGTAAAATTGAAAAGCTGCATTGTATAATTTTAAAATTTTGTTCCACTTGAAAAACATTACCTGCCTCTTTTTTGTAGGATTCAGCAAGTTTAGCTGTGACTATGTGGGATGCCCATTATGAATTTAATGAAATACCAGAATTCAATGTAAGTTATAGATAATTCTACTTTGGTTGTGTGGGTCTAAAAATTTACTAATATAAACAGTATTATTATATTATATAAACAGTATTATTATATTATATTAACAGTATTATTATATTATATTAACAGTATTATTATATTATATTATATTAACAGTAATATTATATAACTTATTATATTAACAGTATTATTATATAACTTATTATATAAACAGTATTATTATATTATATTAACAGTATTATTATATACTTGTTACTTGTTATATAAATAGTATTATTATATTATATAAACAGTATTATAAAATAACTTATTATATTAACAGTATCATTGTATTATATTAACTGTATTGTTATATAACTTATTATATTAACAGTATTATTATATTATATTAACAGTATTAATATATTATATTATAAGTATTATTATATTATATTAACAATATTATTATAAATCATATTATATGAATAAGTAATTCCTGATATTATATCAATCTATAATTGTAGGATTATGAACATTTGTTAGAGGCAGTAGGGAATATCAATGATTATACGGCTGTTAGAAAAAAACAAACTGGTAAAAGATACTGTGATTTCGTCCTGGACTCTCTGCCTCAAAAATTAAAAAAACAGGGTACAAAAGGAAGTATTTATCAAAAAGAACAAGGTTTCTTTGATTCTATCATGTCAAAAACATTTTATGATTTGGTGGTAAGTAGCTATTGTGACTTCAGATTGGGCCTTCAGATATATTAATTTCAAAAAGACTGCATATACAAATGATGCCCTAAAGCCTTGGGCAGTCCACAATCTTAGAGGCCTTTCACATGACTAACACATAACAGTAGCTTCATGGTGTTTGAAACACAAAGATTTGGTGTCTGCTCTTCTATTCTTTTTTGTAACCTAAGGTGACTCCACTTGCCATCCATGATCTAACGAGATTTCTCTTGAAATTGTGCTCTGAAGAATTTTTACTCAATACATCAAAAGTTGTCTTAATGTCAAGCGAGCAAAGCATTGCTAATCAATCCAAAACTCTAGTAAAAGTCATCAGACAATAAAATTCCATGAATTTTGATGCACCTTATCAATGGGAAAATTTTGAATGTGACATTCCAATGAGGCCAGAATTGGAACAGACTCTCAAAACGAGTGCAACCTAAGACACACTGAAGGGAAAACCCCCAAGCAAAAAAGCCATCATGAGCTATCACACCCGGCAACAATCACTTCAACAAATATTGCAGTATTATAAGTGATATCTATTATTGGTATTATATAGAATGTACTTTATTTTTATTTCAGGAAAGTGCTTTAATGACTGCAGGTTTTGGGCCTTTATAGATGTGTTTTATTAGTTATTGATAGTGTTTAAGTGGGGAGACAGTTTTAAACCAGTTATCTTTTTATTTGAGATTTGTCGTGAATTCAGATTTTTGGAGATTATAATGTCAATATTTTTTTAGGGTGTGTTAGTTCAGTTCAACTTTAATGTGTCATATCAATACTAATCCCTTGATGTACTAAATGCATTTACGTTTCTACGAGAAAGTAAAAAACACTATTCTGTTTCATAAAAACACTGTTATCCAGAGAAAGACTAATTAACAATATTAAGATATAATTGTGACATTATAGATTGTTCAATATGTAATTGTTATGTTAATTATATTTGTATTATGTATATTATTGGTATGAATTATTTATAGTCAATTATATACAAGGAAAATCATGGTTCACAAACTTGTAGTAAATTCATTACCATTTTGTCTTCAATGTTAAAGGGATTGTAAAGAGGTTTTCTAAAAAAATCTGTGGTTCCTCAGGAACCGTTCCTGCAATTCCACAAAAATAAGTGTTTGCTTTATCATATAAGACCCCTCGATAGTGATGTCATTAAGCACTTAGTTTTAGTGGGATTGCATCAACCACTGACATCCGATTCAAAATTAGAATGGTGCAAACTGATGCTATCAGTGTCCCCAATACACATTACAAATTTAGAAAAACTCTTTACAATCCCTTTAATAAGGTGTAACAATTACTTAGACTGGTTGTTTGCTGGTAAAGTTTTAGTTATCTATTCCACATTTAGAAATCGCAATCTGAAATTGGTTGTTCTACAATTTAGTAAAAGATAATAGGTGATGACAATGAAGGCGTAGAAAATACTCTTCACTTCTGCTTTACTAACTTGTCAGTATTTTATAGTTTTAAAATGGAGTGCAGGTAGATGAAATTATCTTCATCACTGTGTAAAGCAAACAGTTGGACAGAGAAATTTGAGAAAAAAAAATTCTGTCAAATTCTTCTGGAGAAGGTATTTCTTCAATAGAACAATAAATTTAGTCCCATATTTTGTTTAGACAGAAACTTTCAATTATTTATTTATATTGTTTTATATTTCATATCATTGTCTATTGAATACAAATATATTGAATTATTACTACTTTGACTGTGTATTATTGGGATACAGGGTTAATATTAACTTAACTAAACTTTGATACATTGATCCAGAAGTCTTTACTTCTAACACTGTCCTAGTACTAAGATTCTTTGGAGAATATGTAGTCTGCTACCTTATTTCCTTTAATAATTACCCAGACATTGGATATTCATTTACTCTTATGTCTCCCAGCTTCTCTTAACTCAGACAGTCTGGTGAAGTCTAAAACTTACCTACCCCGGAACAAACCAACCCCAGTAAAACCCACCCCCTGGTAATCTTGCACTAGGATCCCTGATCAGTATGAATAGAACCCTGCAACGCGAGTCTAATCAGTCTGAAGAGTTCAAACACGAACAAAACTAGTCACTGATAATCAGGGATAACTGGTTACATAGCCAATCTTTATCTCGTTTTAAGGGAGATATGAACTATCGAAATTAAGATCTATAATTTCCTTACAATCGATAGGAATAAGGCAATATATATTAAAGGGATTGTAAAGAGGTATGATTAATTTGTTGTGTATCAGGGACACTGATATCATCAATTATCGCCTTTTCAATTTCCGTCTATGGCTGTTGCAATTCCACTACAAGTTAGCTTTTTATGACGTCCCTAGCAAAATCGCCATAAGTGTAAATGGAAATGCAGAAACCACAGACATCTGACTCAATATTAGAAATGAAAGGAATGGAGTTTTACGTCTTACTTCACTGAACCATGTGGGCTAATGAAGATGGAGAATGCCATGCAGTGAGCAAAGAGGGAAATTTTGCCAGGACAGCGGCATTAACCAGCTCTTTTTCCATTTCCAACTATCGAGGAATCTTTAACATGCACAGCCTGTGGCACACAGGGCCTCGGTTTATTGTCCCATCCAAACGACTAGACATTTTTCCATGTCAGCCCTTCTTACCTACTGACTCAATATTGGAATGGTTAATATTGATGCTACCAGTGTCCCCATACACATAACAAGTTTTGAAAACATCTTTACAATCCCTTTAAAACTGTTTTGTCTAATATTAATTCCTACAACAAATAATAATAATAATAGTTCACTTCTATGGCGCAAATTACTTTTCAGTTCCTATTGCGCCCTCAATCAATAAATTTCTGTGAATGAAATAATACTCAAGAATCATTATAAGAAAGTTTTTAGGTTTTTCTTGAAGATGTCGATAGATTTTGAAAATCGAAGTTCTGATGGTAAATTGTTCCATAAAACGGGTGCAGAGTAAGAGGAAGCTTGTTTGGTGATTTCGAGGTTAACTGATGGCACACTTATAAACACTGACATGAAGATCTTAATGTGCTTGTTGGACTTGAAAATTCGATCCGTTGTTGAATGTATGTTGGAGATGTTTTGTTTACTAACAACTCAATAAAACAGATAGTGTAGATTCAGTTAAGAAAATCTTTATATATATATATATATATATATTACATAATATCATAATATGAAAAACAATAGAAAAATTTTAATAATGAAAATGTACAAGAGAAGTTACTATTGAAGGCAATAAAAACAATAAATTTACATCAACACTGAGATTTATGTAAAATATGAATAAAAACAAGGGCAACTTCAAGGGAAGATTTCAGAGGGTGTAGATTCTTTAGCTTAAGATAATCTGTACAATTTAAGATAATCTGTACAATTTAAGATAATCTGTACAATTTAAGATAATCTGTATAATTTAAGATAATCTGTACAATTTAAGATAATCTGTATAATTTAAGATAATCTGTACAATTCAAAATAATCTGAATAATTTTTAGGACGCATTCATGGAATGTTTGTTGTACAATAAGACAATGAATCTCAGACTAATTCAATTCAATGAATCCAAAAGATTACACTCAAAATTTACGTTCACGCAACTTGGGAAGGTTATTGTGATAACAAATACTTGAAATTACGAAAGCACAGGCCAAGGTGAAAATTCAGTTACATCAGCGTGATATTTATAAGTGTTGGATGTACACTGAATTCATACCTGACACAGGCAATAAAAGTAGTTGTAACAGCAACATATAATTGAAATTACGAAAGCACAGGCCGAGGTGAAACTTTAGGTAAGAGTGGTAAGGATAATCTCTTTGATGTTACATTTTCGGCAAAGATTATCTGACAACCCTCCGTTATCAATCCTTGATCCCATTATGCCAATTTTTCTGAATGGATATTTTTACAGACACAACAAGCCAGCAATATTCCCAGAATCTGAAAAAAAACATTAAATAACATTAAAATTTTAGAGACTTTCAGTAATCCAGTTATATCCCAATATCATCACTGCACAGGTCATGATTAACTATATTTAGATTTTCAGCCAGTACGGAGGTTCAGTATTAATGAGGTATGCAGAATAGGACAATAGAGATTGTATACAGTCAAACACAGATATAAATAAAGTGCTCATGTTTCAGTCTAATTCAAATTAGACCAAACTTTTTTTTTTATTACATTTAATTTTTAATGTGGCCACTTTAGTCTGGTTAAAAATTGGAACGGTGCAAATTGATGCTCTTAGTGTTTTGAGAAGACTTTTATATCGCTTTAAAGTGAATTGTATTTTATGTGTGTGTGTGTACTACCTCAATGACTGCAATTCCTATAGCAACACCAATCAAAATACCATCATATTCCTTAATAGCATTGGTCACTCCATCCAGACACCCCTGAAAATATTACAGTTCAAAATAACATACTAAAACCTCTTTCACAGACAAGAAATTTAAATGTTCGCTTGTTCCATGCAGAGTTATTTACAACTATTAAGACAAAAAAAACAACTATATTTTACAAGGATAACAACTTAGGTTCACAGGTTCTACCAGCTAGTCCTTGGTCAAACCTCTTGGCAATGATCTTTTCCGGATTATCCATACCCATTTACAGCTGGGTGGACTCTATCGCGCCTACAAGCCAAATTTGATGCATTTTTAGTAAGTCAAGGGCAATAACTCTGAAACTGGTCATCCAATTATTACCAATTTCAAACTTGACCGAGATCTCCTCAATATAAACATGCATACCAAGTTCCATCAAGATCAGATAAAAACTTTAGTCTCTATCACGCCTATGACGGACGGACAGACAGGGGCGTATAATAGTTAAATAAACAAACCTGCAGACTGAAGCAACTGTGAAATTAAATGTTTTTGGAATGATTAAAATACTTACTAATGGTTTTAAAAACTCTCCTGCAACTGTTTGATTAGCTTCTAGTTGACAACGAGTGTTATTTTTGGGCATGGGATCATTTGGGTCTTCATTTTCTAATATACAGCAAGTCAGTGGTACCATCTGTAAATATAAAATCATTCAGTGATATTACTACTTCTAAAGTCATTAATTCAGAAACAAGAAAATATGAAGATGTTAACAAAATATGTCTTGGCAGGCAAGGTAAGAAACGCCAACTGGCAGCTGTCAGAAATGATGTGTCATCAGTAACTAAAATACAAATTTTCTCTTATTAAAGCAGGCGAGGCCATGCTCAGGAGGCTAGAGGTGGCTTTAAGGTCTGATCAATAAACCAACAAGGGTGATGGAAATATGTGTTCATATTTAAATATACTAAAAAAAAATAACAGTGAACTGATGAAGATATGCATCTATATATGATATCAAAAATAATTTCAGTCAAAATAAACCATTTTTTCTTTATATAACATTTTGTGTGTCTAAAAACACACTACGTCACAGGATCAAAATATTTTTCAATTTTGAATTCTCTCAGGAAAAGTGTTTTTTTGGGAGCACAGAAGTTGGATTTTCCTAGAAGCCAGCACCCCTCTTAATTCATTATCAGTTATCTGATTTGTAAACCATATAAATTACCAACCTGGCCCACTCCAAATTTTATATCTTTGTAATCTGTATAATTATGAACACCACAACAATGTAACTGAAAAATTCAACAGCGTTAATGAAATATAACGTCATAAACTCCAACTAATGAAAGTAACAGCGTATGACGATAACGTTGTTTGATGTCACTTAGTAAGACCCGGTATACCGTCTGCTCAGGTATATATTGCGTTAGTGTGGGGCCGGTAAACGGGCCGCTAGGGTTGAAAGGGTTAAGGGTTTTAAGATAACACTTAAACCAAATATTGCAAAAAATTGCAACCTTTAGAATAAGTAGTATGCATATTTCTCTACAATTAGATATTTATTTTGCTAAAATCTGTACAGTACTTTTACCTACCAAAAATCATTATCTCCAGTTGTCACAGACTCGAGTAAAGGTTTTTTAAGCCAACTAAAAACACAGAATGCCCTTAAAACATGGTTTTCCATATATTTTAGTGTCAAATTATGCAAACTATTTGATTAATTTGTGTTTCTAATGAATTATCATGTATTCTTAATCAAATCATTATGTTCTTGTTGCATTTAATGAAGAGTTTTAACCAATCATAAATGTCCATGTATTTACAGTTGAGATAAACAAAAAATACCTTTTGACCTTTCTTGATCGGTCACTCAATGGAATTCTGCTGGTAATTCTCTTCTAATTTATCTAATTATGAATTAATTATGGACATGTGAGACAAACTGATATTTTTCAACGTCATTAGAACACCTCTACTTTCTATTCATTTTCATGTTCATAAATGAAAATAGGGGAACCCATCTTTAAGAACTTACCCAAACTTGAACATAGTCCCAGGGTTGAGTATATTTTGTTCGACCAGGCTTGTAATCATTCTCCAATACACCCAAAAGATTGCTTTCTATTGTGTGTTCCACCTGAGTAACAAAACATTAGTTAACAATAATAAAATCAACAACAAAGCAACATGATGCACAATAATCTTCCATTCGACAGATTTTTTTGGGACATTTACAAGTCATTTTCCATCAATTTTTGATACAAAATCCTTATTTGATGAAAGATTTAAAATGCTACATTTATATTTTCTACAAATATAGTAATCATTTGTTGAATTAATCAGCTTTCACATCCCCAACAAATATTCTTCTGTTTCTCAAATCTAATTTTTGAAAATAAAGGGCTTACATCCTGCCTTTTACGTATTTTAAACAATATTATTACATTTTAACAAATACCAAATAAAAGTGTTTTTTTTATTAAATTTACAGAAGCAATACATCAATAAAAGACTAGTCTGCAATACTTACATCAGTTTTATATAGAGCAGCAAGTATACCAGCAGTTATTTGACCAATAAATATAATAACTAAACAAGCTATGTACTGAAATTAGTAATAAAAGTCTTACTATACAATTTCAAATATTTTCATTGTTAAAGGGACAGTTGCGCCATTTTAGGGGGTTGATTTTTATCTTGAATATATGTCAATAATCTTCAGAAGTACTATAAATGAACGAAAATCGCATAATTCCTTTAAAAATACTTTAAACTAGGAATTTTCCTCTCTATTTCTATATATGTCTTTTCTATATATCACAGAGTATCTTATCTTGACGAGTCGTTATTCTAACATTCAAATGCGGATAATTCTGGACATGGATTTGAAGGCTCAAATTTTGACTGAACACTGTTACTGATAGGTTTAGCTAAAAAAAATTACGTTTCTGAGACTAAAGTATGATAAGTCTAAAAGAATAGCGAAACTGTCCCTTTAAAATAGTGCTCAATACATGTAAATTAATTGTAGAGTGGTATAGAAAGAGCGCTATAATCTTAGTAACAACATGTTTCCTTGATACAGCAATCCAAGAAATATTACTCAAAATCGGCTATATTACATCAAAAATATAATGGTTAAAGAAAATGTAGGTCCTATGCCAATCTGGTTAAACACACAACCATGAAACATTGATCATTGAAGTGATTTTTTAAAAAATCCAAGGCCAAAATTCTATGACTTGGTATTTTGTCAATTTTTTAAAAAATCAGCATAACAGATATGACTGATTGCTAACAGCAGACTAATTTGAAATTGCCTTTTCTCTCAACTGGGATACTGATTTTTTCATATTAATGGTCATTATCCAAACCTGTTCTTGTTTTTTGATATCTAATTCCAGATAAATAAATAGTCTAAAAGTTGATGTTGATTGTTGCTTATGTCATAGTGTTATTGAGAAACAAAGAATGTCTACATACCAAACCAAGTAAAATTCGGCTTTTTTGGATTCCACCACAACATCCAAATACTGACACCAAAAGCATAAATCCACCAAATCCAATCAGAATATAAGCTGCGTTGGCTAGATTGGGATTCTTACTATCTAGATTAACAAGTTCCTGTAGTTGAACAACTGATGGATCAACCCTTAACCAGATACCAACTGCTAGGATGGTTACACCACATACCTGAAATGAAAGGGTTGGCTTCAATTTCTTATGGTTTGTAACTGCAGGCTATTCTTTTATGTCTAGTTCATTATTTTTGTAAGTTTCTGGACATAAATATTTTCTTTGAAAGAATACTTAAGATTATAAAGAGGTTTTCTAAATTTTTAAGGTATTTTCATTCTGTTAGTTTTAGTGGAACCACAGATGTCGGAATGAAACTTGGAATGGTGCAAATTGATGCTATCAGTGTCCCCCATACACATAAAAAGTTTAGAAAACCTCTTTATAATTATTTTAAGTTTGTGGTTTTTTTTTTCAGCACTGTTTAGGTTGGTAATAGCTTAACGTGATGAGGGACAGGAGGTGTGCAACTGTGCTAGTGTTCTTCTTATGCATTAAAACTCAAACTGGATTGAATATAAGCATTCAGCAAGTCTATCAAATATAATATGAGTTTTTATATTGCAACAGTAGGCCTACAAAAGGGTGTGGTGTTAAGATTAACTGTAAAAGGATTTAGGTCAAAATTAAGAATTTTGAATGTTCAATAACAAATATACTTACTGCAAATAAAATGTTAAAGACGATCAACAGCACCCGTGCTGTCTTCCCAGCACACCCCGCCATACAGGATTTAGATTCTGAAATAGCAAAATATTACAGTTTATATACAAAAAGCTATAGGCATGATCTGTGTTTTCATTAATTGAGTGTAGCCTAGGTTTAAGTTATGATCCTGTCTTGAGCAGAAGGTTGAAAGAGATTTTCAGTCTAGAAGTAGAAGGAAAAGTGGAAAGCAAAGCTAGGCTGGTATCAATATGAATAAGCTTACTATTGGTTTTTCTCAAGCTTAAGAATATGTAGGTTCTAGGCCTAGATGTAGTTTTAGTGGGATATTACTCCAAAACTATAGGAATTCAAACTGGTCCCCCATTCCACTTAAAGCTTCACACTGAAGTGTAGTGATAAGCGAAGACAACAGGATACCGGTTTATTACAGAATGGGCATCTTGAACTTGAAGAGCACATTGTCTGTAAGTGTAGGCCTAACCAAGCGCTATCAGTTGGCCCTACATACAAGACAAACTCCAATAGAGTTATAAATCTAGAGAAAAATCATGTGCCTAGAGCCATTAGTGTGTCAAAATTACTGTGACCAAATCATTGAATTCAATTTTCCTCCTGACCTAATTAATAGCCTAATAATAACTTTCCTTAAAGACCATTTTCGTGTTACCATAGGCCTACCAAGTTTTCTGTGACAAATTTTGCCTTTAATAGACCTAACCCTAGCCCTATTTATACAGATCCTAATAATAGACACATATTAGCCTAGCCTTAATTTATGCTATGAAACTAAAGCCACACATTTACAAGAATTAAGAATTATATTCTACGACAGAAAATAAATGTGATAGAATTCGAGTGCCTCTCTACTCGTTTCCTTTAGTTAGGCTTTATATCGACTGATAATTTTGTACTTCAAGGGAGATAACTTCTATAAAAAAATATTTTAAGGGAGACAATTGATTAGACTAAAATCAGGTTTGGTTGAGGGTACTATCCCTTTGGTTTGTGGTCTAGATTTTGATACCATCCTCGTCAAAATACAAAAGACCATGTCGTGAAAGTTGACTATCTTGCAAATTAGGATAGGCCTACTTAATTGCTCCTAAGGGGAACCCCAAAAGTAGAACTCTGAAAAGTTGACCGACAAACAAAAGCACAAAGTAGTCTAGAAATAGAATCAACTTCTTTAAAACAAAATAAGACAGGACCCCGAAGTTAATTGGGCCGAGATGTTAAATTCCCATTTCCACCAGTAATTTTCTATCACAGACAGACCAACACAATCTACAGGGGCTGAAATTGCATGATTGATACTAAATGTTTTAATCATGGGGACCGGACCTACGTTATCACCACCTCATCCAAGATGACTGAGTGTTACTGATTGCTATAAACAGCATCTATGGATCGATATCAGCCAATGAAAATAATAATAATGAGGTCTAAGAAATTACAGACCTCTTTAAACCAGTTGTAAGGAAATATCTCGACGACCTAGTCAAAGAAGATAGGCACTCTCTTTTCTTTTAAAATCGAAAAAATTAGTCTTATATGCTCGCTAAAGTCGTTTTAACTCTTGTGGTGTGTAGACTATCGTAAGCTATTTTTATCGAGCGTATTTCCATAACAAGTATTGACAATGTAGGTTATTCTACCAGATATACCGGTTTTTTGACCTTAATGAACTGTATAGGCTAGACCAAGATTAAACGATTTAAAGGGATTTTAGAGGTTTTCTGACGAAAAAAAAGGGTGTAGGCTAGGCCTATAAGGGACACTAATAGCAACGATTTGCGGTATTCCATTATCCGTAATTCTTTCAATGCTGTTTTAACCATCGCAAAGGTCCTTAGGCCTTTATATATCAACAACAAATGTCTGATAGAAACTTGGAATGGTGCAAATTGATGATATCAGTGTCTCGATAGAAAGTTTAGAAAACCAATGTACAATCCAGTTAAGATAAGCCCATTGTTCATTGAATATTCTACATTAATTTTTCACAATCCGAATACTCATTATTTAATCTCACCTCAAAGGTTATAGTGTCCTAGATTGATTTGGGGTTATATATTTTAATTTTAGGCATCAAAGAAAGCTTGTCAGGCCAGATTATATACACCCACTTGCAGCTTTGTTAGCAGAACAGCAACCATTAGGCCTACAACCGTGAAATACCTTCCTGTAGCTGTGACATGGCCTTTAAAATTGTGAGTAATATATATAGACACAGCTTTATGGAACAACAATCACTGGTTAAAGTTTTATGCAACGTTTCGACGTGTTTCATACATTAACCAGTGATTGTGGTTTCATAAAGCTGTGTCTATACATGGCCTTTAAAGTTGTACTTTTCATTGGAATATTACTGAAACGCAGTTTTACGTAGTCAAGGCGGGGTATTCTCCATTTTATATTGAAATATTAATAACGGAGTCTTATATTTGCTTGAATGGTTCGTTGGTTGATTTCAACAGAGAACCATAAATTATATTTTAAATGCGTCTTTTTAATTTTCCAGAACGAATATAGATGTAACTGGTTTATATATCCATTCTAAAATTTCATCGATCTATTTCTAGTCGTCTGTGCAACAGACTGCATCAAACCCTTGTCCAATTTGTGAGTTATAAAGTGTACACTGTCATATATCATACTCTCTACTTTAATTATAGCTTCATTATATAGAAACCCTAATCACCCTTAACAATATAACGAATTCACTAATTATTTTCCCAATTAACGGAATACTGACATTTGGAAAGCTGACGTAAAAGCTTAATTAGCAATGGCATCAGGTGTTCGAGGAACAAAGCATCCTTATCTAATGCGTATTACATAGCCGATCTGACAAAATAATTAAGGAAACGAATGATCAAATCTATCAACGATTTCAATATACTGATGAACTGATGATAAGTTCCTATTTTAAAGAAGAATTAGGTGCAAAATAGATCGTGAATGAATGAATGTTAGGTGATTTCTTGCCCAATCGTGGGCCCGAACATCATCCGAACTTTAATGGATTAAGCTTGACTACTGGAAAATATGGTTTTAGTACAAGCGTATATTCTTACGGCGGTTACAGGCCCTTCAAACTATCTTGTCGAATCCGGACGAGCGCGACTTTACTGACAACTAACATGCAATCGTAAATATATCTGTTTGATTTGTTTCGTGTTTTTAAAGGTATAAATGTTATTCATGATCTAAAAAGATCATTCTTTAAAGTGTGTTCTGGGGGATTTTGAACCAATAGCACCCAAAGATGTTAGAATGTATGTTAAACAATTATTTAATTTTTAACCGGAACATTTTTTGTTGAATACCAACTGACCCAGAACAGGTACATTGCATAACAATTTCACCAGATCATGTTGACATCTTGACAATGCTATTACGAATTGCGAATTTATATCTTGATTGCAACAGCCATTCTTGCAGTGATTTGATTGGATTGTATGTAAGTGAATATATACCAAATCAGAGTCGTCATTTTAACTTTCAAATACGGGTAAACACATGGATTTAAAGGCTCAAAGCTGCAGTGAACAGTATCAACTGATTCGCTTAGCTAGAAAAAAAATCACGTTTCTGAGTCTAAAGGGTTTGGTCAAATGGAAGACGAACCTGTCCCTTTTAACCTTCGCAATGGAAGTGTGCGACAGTGGAATTATCTTTGTTGAATTTCCCTGTGATGGGATCACTACCTGTTCATTTGTAGCTTTGTATGCAAAATGCTTAAATTCTACTTTATTTCATTTTAGTCAACTTCCCTATGTGTTTAACTGGTCGTTACAAAAGGAAAAAAGTTAAAAACAACCGCACATAATTGAAATTGAATAAAAACCTTTAAAAAATGTGAAACAGGAAGATCTTAGAATGGGAAATTACGCATATTCACAATCTGTCATTTCAAAGCAAATATTCATTTAGCTTTTCCTTGATGCGGAAGTTATCTCTCAAATTAGAGTATCTTGCCTTGGAGAGACTAAATGTATCGCGTATTTCTCCAAAAAGAAAGTAAAGTCTAGATAAAATACGTCGGTCATTCTCGGACAAGATTCATTTTTCATTCCGCACACCATAATAAGTAAATAAATATTAAATGAACTTACTGTATACTAAAATAGTATTGATTTTTGACTAGGTCTGTATTATGTATGTATACTTGTATATAGACCTATAGTCAACTATTTTATAGAGCAGTATGAACTGTTTTGTTCAATATAGTTTTAATGATTAAATGAAACCAAATATCATCAAACAAACAGTGTGATATATCTATATCCCCGTTTGAAATACAAGTTTAATATTCCGGAATATACTGTCCCAATCTCAACATATGTTCCCGAATATCATATTCCATCGCATTTTTCTTAAGTAAATAATATGTCATTTCTTAGCATAGAGTGATTTTTACACTATATATACTATACAATTTTATGCATATAAATATTCAACTAAGGGTTGTCATGCCTATTCGCAGAAATCTGTAGTCGCCCTATTGTTAAGTAAAATATCCACGAAGGAACCTAATTTTACAGACATCATATCCTTGTTCATAACAAAAAGCTTCCAATCTCAAATATGATAAGAGTAGACTATATGCCTATATTGGACATTTCATTAAGCAATTGTTTTCAAAATTTTTTAAAGATCATACAAAGTCGTTATCTTAAGATCATTTTAAAAATTCAAAGAAAGACACTTACGAACCATGATGAATGTTTCTAAACAAATTTACATAGAAATATGATATCCCTCTCAAATAAGATTGTACAATCTAAAGCTGAATTGTCACATTGCCACAGAATAAGACCATTGTCCTATACAATATAAGCACTATGAGTAATATGTTGTCAGCCCACTGCTAAATCAATATGACGTATATTACGCTTTCTGAATTATTGACCTGTTCAAACAGATCCTTCTTAAACAAGTTTTTACACAGGTGGGCTATAAATAGATTCTTTCACCAGGTGATTAACACCCTGCAAAGGTAAGAGATTAAATATACAACGCCTATTACCATTGTTCAATTATAAATGTCCCTATTTCATGGACAGATCATAAGTGATTGGGCAATATGGCTACTTAAACATTATGCTGGCTTTACCAACATTAGATAGTGATGTTTACAGCATTAGGTAGGCCTAATGCGGATTACATCATCAGACTCCACCAGTATTAGATAATATTGACTACATCATCATTAGATGATACTGACTACATCATCATCAGATGATGCTGACTACATCATCATCAAATGATGCTGACATCATCAGATGATGCTGACTACATCATCATCAAATGATGCTGACTACATCAACATTAGGTAAAATTGGCTACATCAACTAAAGATAAAACTGATTACATGATCATCAAATGATGCTGACTACAATAGGTAAAATTGGCTACATCAACTAAAGATAAAACTGACTACATCATCATCAGATAAATGCTAACAACATCATCATTAGATAAGACTACATCATTATTAGGTAACACTGGTTTCATCAACATTAGATAATACTGACTACATCATTATTAGATAAAATTGGTTACATCAACATACTAAGGTAATACTGACTACATCAACATTAGATGTTGCTGACTACACCATCATTAGGTAGTACTGACTACAACATTATTAGGTAGGTAATACTGACTACATCAACATTAGGAAATGCTGACCATACACATTATAGTTCTGATTTCATTAACATTAGGTACTTATATGAGCATCATTTTACATCGACCATAATAATGCCACTCAGTAAATTTCCATAACGCTAGCTAATTCAACATTATACAGTACTGAATAGGCCCATATCAATATTTTTTGTGCTACTTATATCAACTTGCGGAGCTGACAACAGGTGTTGTACCCGAAAGTGTACAGGTAGCCAAAATTGAACGTTTGATTAATAATTAGAGTATTTGCCTCTCCACCGAAACAAAGTTCGGCAAAGTCAAAAATCTAAACGCCTTGAATTTATGAGAACATTATATCATAAAATGACTAGTCTACATGCATTTTTCTCGAATTGTATAAATTAGGGTTAAACTTTACATAAAGCGACTTTTGTCAACATAATTGAACCATTTGTTTACCCTAAAGTAGCCCAATGAAAGAAACGTGAAATAACAATGTTAAGAATAACATTAACTAATGAATGCTAAGTAAGAATTAACAGCTTATATTATATAGAATATAAAGATCAAAACAATTATAACTTACATATATTATTATAGGATACAATAATATCAACCTACATAGGAACATTCCATAAGCTTACTAATAGAGCAAGTCATGTGAAACTGAAATTCATAAATGTTATCAATCGCAACTGACAAATACCTGTACGTCACAATCCGTAAATTAACTCTACCATTTTTAATTCGACTAAAACTCGTATAAAGTTAAAACACCCGAGCCTTGTTTATAGTTAAGATAGCTGTAATTAACACCATTCCAAATTACATGCAACGACACTGGCATAGGTCTATTTCGATTTCCAACTACCAAGGATCTTGAGCATGCACGCTATTTAGCGCAAAGGGGCAGAGCCATTTTTCACTGCATCGCAAGGGGAATCCCAGGTAGTAAAATCCAAATGAATCATCTCCAGCGATACCGTCGAACGATGACTCATTTTGACCAAGTTTTAAAAAAATTTTTTTGTCATCCTAAGGCGAAGTATACCTTTAAAGGAATACTACCTCTTAGAATGAGCATAAAATTTAAGAATTTTAAACTTGGCCAATAAGAGCATATAATATTCATCAGTAGATATACCTAGTGTCATAAATAACATAACAGGACCCTTATATAATCCGATAAATCCAAAAAACTTAGTAAGTATCCATAAATATGCAATTAACTATTGAAAAACACTTAATATTAAGGTAAAACGTTTTTCAATAACTACTTAGTTTTAGGAATTTTCCAATTTTCCAGGGATTCTGTTGTAACTTTATGATACCAGTTTATTTCACTGAAGAATATATACTCATATTGACCATTCTTGAGAACTTAAATTTTATGTTCATTCTAAGACGTATCACTTAAATTTCAAGTACAACTGTCATAACATGAGCAATTTTTGGTAGATAATCAAAACTTTACCAATATCTCCAGGACATGAAGAAGCCCCCTCCAGATATGCTTAGCTTTGCATTTACGGTTGTTAAATAATTCTGGAAATCTTTAGGAATAAAAGCGAAAGATCTGACGATATAAAAATATATACAGAAAAGACATTATAGGACTAACGCTATAACCGAGGATGAACTTTTAGACCAATGGAGAGACCTCCGTGTCACTTCTCAGATTAAAATCCTGTTTTCCTTCCCTCCAAATGAAACAAACAATCAAGGAGGACATCCATACTGTCATAAAATCCAGGACTTTCTATACGGCTTTCATGCATGATGGAAATTAAAAAAACATTCGCCATTTTCGGGTGCTGATTTTAGTCTCTAGAAGTAAATGCAGGAAAATTGCACAATTCCTTCAAAAATACCTTAAACTAAGAATTTCACTTTCTATTTCTATCAAAAAACAGATGAGCCGTCATAACTATTAAATGCGGATAATTGACTCGTGGATTTGAAGGCTTTCGACGGTGAGCTTTTACTGATTAGCTTACAGCTGATCTAAGACTAAAGTACGAATAGTCAAACGAAGACGAACTTTAAGAATGTTCATGATAATGGCCTGAAAGTGACAGCAGTTCTTCCCCTGGCGGTTTGTGAAGAACCGGAAGTCTGGCTAAATGTTCACAGATGGACAGAATTACAATAATACTCGAAGCCCATCCCAAAATTCAAACGCGGACTGTCATACTTTCAAAGAATTGTGATTGTCTAAATTTTGGTTTTCTGTCCGGCAATAAATAAATTAAAGGGACATCTTGTTTTGAAATAGACTTATTGGGCTAATGAAGCAAGCAAGGGACTTCTGCTGGGACTGGAGCCTACTCTTTTTGTGATTCCCAACTGTCAGGGATGCACAGCCTGTTGCTCAAAGGTCTTTTTCCAAATCCGCACAACTAGACTCTTTTTCCATGTTTGCTTCACTCTGCGATCAGATACAGTACTTTCTTTTTTGGTTGATTAAAATTAAGAGGCAGAAACACCAAATGAAGTGAGTTCCCGAACTCCAAAACAGAAAAAGAAAGAAAGAAACAGGGTTATTTTTCTTTAAAATAATCATTAAAATATCACAAAACATTGCTTTATCACAGCGTAATATAACATAAAATATCATATATCAAAAATCACAGTTAGAGAATGTTACACCTATATTATACATAAAAATGAATTCCAAATATCAAAAATAAAAATCTACTCTCTGGCCACATCAAGTTCTAAATCACATTTTGGTTCTCATGTTTGTATGAATTGAAATATTAATCTCCAAATATTGCTGAGAGTCTTAGATTGTCTTTGCTTTGATGCAAATGCCAACCATTGGAAACAAACTTATTTGAAACTATGACTTTATAGAGTGAGATTTTCAGTTCAAACTGTGTGTCATTTTCATATTAGATGAAGTGGGTTCATTTCAAGTGCAAAATTTTCAAAACTTATATATTCATGGACGAAAAGGCATTCTAAGACAATTGGTATGAACTTGAATATTTGTGACATGAAAATTTCAATTTAGAACTCAATGTGGCCAGAGCGTAGGACAGTTTCAGACTAATTTGATATTATATTAGCGGTTTTGACATTGTTTCAACCTTCATATGACATTGACATGATAGTTGTCCACTAAGGTGCCCTTTTACCACAGTGATTACCAGTTGTGTATGGTTGCAAATAATGAAAGTGGCCATGAGTTCCAAACTGACAACTCAGTTGCATGAGAATTACATTCACAACCTATGAACACTATTCTTTTTCGTAACCATAGTCAACTGGTGATCTGCTATGATGTGAATAATTATGGAACTGATCAAGTAGACCATAACCAGAACATTTAAAGTGTAAGTAGAGAGTTTTTGAAAAAGTGAATTAACCATATATGTGCAATTTTACCACAATTGAGTTTGTAAATAAAACACACTCTACATATTCCTGAATTATAACTTTCATCTGATAGTATTTCTGTTTGAAATTTTATTTGTTCTTTTCTTCTTCATCTTTTAAGGAGTCCATAGCTGTAGTCCAATGGTGAAGATCAACAGAGACTTGAAGCTCTAATGGAGGTGGTGGTAGAGTTTCCTCCCCTTCTTCAACTGGAGCAACAGACGGTTTGGCTTTTCCTTTTTTATCATCTTTTCCTTTACTTGTTGCACTCTTTCTTGCATCTAGAATTATAAATGCCTGATTAGAAGAAAGCAAAATATGTAGACCACAACAGGGCAGCAAGTAGAGAGACACGGGAAGTATCTAGATCGCTATGTTGGTCAAATTTGTCAGCTTTCCTTACTTCAGTCTGTGTAGTAAAATGGTGTAAAATTAGTATTACCTTTATCTTTACCTTTATCTTTTCCTGCTTTGGCTGATGTTGGTTTCTTTTTATCTTTTTTATCATCCTTCAATACAACACAGATAATTTGAAAATTCAAAATTTAATAACTAAAAGTGTATTTTCAATGTTTAAGATTTCATCATTCAACTAAGCTGGAATAAGATTATGAAATCCAATGGAACTGAATCAGGTAACTAATTTTTATAAAAAAATCTTTTATGGTAATCTTTCTTAATTCATCTATCGCTTTAGACTTAATGGTTATTAGAAAACCACATTTTTTGTAACGGATGTCCATTTGCAAAGATACAGTGGTGTAACCTATTTTCGTGGATATAAGGATTCAACACCGAATTTTGTCAATGTTAAAAAAACAGAATTTTTTTTTTATGTCTAAGATGTGACCTCAGATATTCTACAAAATAATTAAAATTTGTTTGTTTGGATTTTCTTTATGAATCCTTCACTTTGACCCATATTTCATGAGCAACCAACTCGACAAATGTGGCAGAATGCGTCATCTATTTTCGTGTACAATGTTTGATCTATAAATAAGTCGAGAAAAACACGTTGTATGGATATCGGGTGGTTTAATTAACTTCTTAGTATTTATCTTTAATATCAATTAGTTATAACTAGTGACAATTCCTTCAAAGAACACAATTTAAAAAAAAAAATAGTGACTGACAAAATAAGATACATAGCGTGATTTATTGCTAAAAGTCACTGAAACAAGGTAAAGAATATGGACCACTTTGTGTTCCAAAGAACACGGAATCCGCTAATTGATCACGTGACTTCATTCGTTGGACTACATTCTAGCAGACGATATTTGGAATCCGCTTGGGATTATAAGGAAATTCGGCTGTAAAAAATGGTGACGTTTGGTAATAACTGAAATCCGCCATTTTGTATTTGTCAAAGTATACATTAATACATTTTACCTTGCTTGAAACTACTGAATTCATTCTAATAGATGATATTGTAGAGATAACACATGTTTATCAAAAAAAGCAAATGCAGAGGTCACGCAAGGTTGCACATGTAAATTATTAATCATTTCCGGAAATGCACGAAAAATAGGTTAGCACGAAATTAGGTTACTTGACTGTGATATAAATCATATTCCACAATTGCTCATGAATCCAATTTCCCTGATTGTATTTTTTGCCTCCAGACTGTACCCATCACTGAAAATGGGAAACCTTTTTACATTCTACTAACTGTTAAAAACTCATTATTTTCCTGTTCTATACAATTTTAAGTGATCAAGAATGCAAATGTAATTATGACTATTGAGAAGAACTTGTATAATGATATACAATTCCGGAAATGTTACTTTGAAATTGCATGCCTACCTTCTTGCCATGTTCAGAACTTTTCACTGTGGAAGCTCTTTCTGTATTACCTTTTGTAAATACAGACTGATAGTTAAATTCACCTTCTAAGAATTCATCCAAATTAATATGGAATGTGGCCAGTGTATTCAGCTGAGGGGGCATTCTTTTGAGCTCTACTTCTGGTTCTTTTTTCTTTTTCTTTTTGTCTTCTTTCTCAGGTTTGCCTCCCTAAAATATTACATGAAATGTTCCTTTGAGAAAATCAATCTTTGGACAGTTGCTTTAGTCAAAAAGAGGAAATGTATATCCAGATTGCAGAAATGAGGAATATTAAGTTTTTTCTTCCCTCTGGTTTTAAGGCAACAAAGTCTGGAAATGTTTTTCAAAGAGAAATTCTGAATTGACTCCATTTTCTCCAACCTGTTTCATTGTCAAATGAGGAACCGGGCCATGTATTCTCGATATTAGTGCTAAAATGTCTGAGGTTCTTATCTTTTAGCATTGATTCTAGAATGTCCTAGGCTCTTATCTTTTAGCATTGATTCTAGAATGTCCTAGGTTCTTATCTTTTAGCATTGATTCTAGAATGTCCTAGGTTCTTATCTTTTAGCATTGATTCTAGAATGTCCTAGGTTCTTATCTTGTAACATTGATTCTAGGATGTCCTAGGTTCTTATCTTTTAGCATTGATTCTAGGATGTCCTAGGTTCTTATCTTTTAGCATTGATTCTGGAATGTCCTAGGTTCTTATCTTGTAACATTGATTCTAGAATGTCCTAGGTTCTTATCTTGTAACATTGATTCTAGGATGTCCTAGGTTCTTATCTTTTAGCATTGATTCTAGGATGTCCTAGGTTCTTATCTTTTAACATTGATTCTAGAATGTCCTAGGTTCTTATCTTTTAGCATTGATTCAAGGATGTCCTAGATTCTTATCTTTTAGCACTGATTCTAGGATGTCCTAGGTTCTTATCATTTAGCATTGATTCTAGGATGTCCTAGGTTCTTATCTTCTAACATTGATCCTAGGATGTCCTAGCACTAAGATCGTTTCGAGAATACGTGGCCAGGCTTACAACAAGGTCCTGATTATCTACACCCATCTGCAACTGGGCCGATTAGAAAAAAAGTAAGAGTAGCTGAAAAGAAAAAAGATTATAGTGAGGACTGAAACTGTGCCACTAACCTTGGCCTTTTTATCACCTTTACCTGTAGCATTTTTATCATTTTTTCTGCTACTAGCTGGTGTACTGGAGCCAGTATCTTCTTCTTGTGGATAACACAATACCTGACAGAGATTATGTATATAAAATGTTTGAAAGAGTTGACACAACAACAAAATTGTGCACTACACGAATATATGGGTATGTCAATTCAAAAGCATAGCACATCAACCAGGGAAATGTACAGTTATTTAAGCTTTATTATTATACAGACATGACAGTTATAATGTTTACTATATATTTGCTATACAAGCTGTTTTAGACAGTTATAGCATCCATGTTAACATACTGACAGTGATAAAAAGGGACATTCCGCTATTTTGTGGGTTGAAACATGTCCCTTAACGTATCTGAAAGATTAACTAAAAAATTTCAGCCATTAATTTTTTTAACACCAAAACATTACGTAAAATTAAGTTTATTAAGCTTTTTAGAAGCTGTTAGAAAACTACTGTATGCATTTTAATAAACGCTTAATTTTAGATTTTTTTAATTAAACCTTTTGAAATAAATTCAGTTTGATCAAGTAGATACATAGATATAAATAGCATACTATAGAAATATCAATATAATTTAAGACGTTTTTGATAATGAAAATGAATTACAAAAAAAGTGTAATGCCCCTTTTAACTGGTGTTGTTTTTGATGAATTACTAGATCCTGATTTAGGATTAAAGGGATCCTCCCACCACAGTGATTACCAGTTGTGCATGGTTGTAAATAATGTAACTCAGTTGCATGAGAGTTGCAATTAAATTTTCTGACCGCTATTTTTATTCTAGTGATCACTATAGTGTGAGGGCACATTTAATTCTTGAAAAGTATTTGAGAAAGTTGAAATTTAACTCTATCAGAAGGTACAAAAACATCTAAAAACACTTAATCATTAAGGCAAAATCTGTTTTCATGAAGGTCCATTTTATGCAGAAATTTTTAAAAAACACTCACAAAAATACTGTGTCCAAATCTAAGACTTAAAAACTACATACCACTTGTTCAATGATAGAAAAATCCATGCCTTGTTGAAAGAAATCTCTGAGAGCAATGAGATTATCTCTTATAAAACTCTGTGACCAGTTGACCTCTAGTTCTTCTGCCCAAGGTAATTTATCTGTACATATTGGAGCTAGTTTTATTGGTTTAGATAATTCATCTTCTGTTACACCAACATCTTCAACTCCTTAAAATTAAGTATTTTATTACAGTTCAAAACAAAACAGTTTTTATTTTTTTTTAAATTTGGAACTTTTCAGAACAAATTCTGACATTAATTTTGTATTCAATAAGATAGATGTTGATTAGTCACTCAGATCTTTAATCAAAATGGTAGAAAGAAAAAAATAGCTTGTAAATTTGAGTTTCTTTAACTGCTGTTTCAGTAATTCATTTTTATTTATTTGTAGAGGATATTTCGTTTTCCATTTTGAAAAGAGATACAGAAATCTTATGGCAAATTTTCTGGTAAAGCAGAAAAATTCAATGTCTATAAAAGCTTAAAGGGATTGTAAAGAGGTTTTCTAAATTTTATATGCGTATCGTGGACACTGATAGCATCAATTTGCACCATTCCAATTCTCAATCCGGTGTTTGTGGTTCCTGCAACTCCACTTAAACTAAGTGTTTCACCCCTGCAAAATTTGCTTGTATCACATAAGACATTTGCGGAGGTGATGTCATAAAACACTTACTTTAAGTAAAATTATTATAACCACAGACGTCTGATTGAAAATTGGAATGGTGCAAATCATTGTCCCTGATACACATACAAAATTTAGAAAACCTCTTTACAATCCATTTAAAACAGACATATTAGCTTTAAGCTTACTAAATAATGACTTGAAGGTAAATAGTCTTACCAGTGTACTCTCTAGCAGTTTCTAGATTCTTTAGATCAGGCTGACTATTAAAATAAACATTCTTTTCCATTAATTTATCTTTATCATCATCCATCTGTTCACTACCAATAACATCAGAGTGCTAGAAATAAACATATAAAACCTTACTCAAGGCAGCTTCTGTATCCTAGGGTACAAATCTTACCCAGATTCTTCATTCTGAAGGGACAAATTTCACTTTAGACCGTGGGGTCAAAGAAGATATGTTTGCTATCACTTTTAAATAAAAAGTTAATTTGACTTAAGTTTATACATATATCATTATGATTTATGATATACAATAACAAAATATTTTTCTGTTAAATACAACAATTGTAGATATAGAAATATTAAAACAGAACCTGAAACATGCTGTTACTCAAGAGTTTCATACTGTCGATCTACAGTCAAAACTGACCCTTTTCAGCCCGCAACCGTACTGAAATATTTCTTGTTCTGGTGTCCACACTTGATACAAGTCTGGACTGTTTGTTTAAGATGTGAGTCACACTTTGTTCAGACAACTCAGTCAATATATTGTAACAAATTAGACTACCTACCATTATAGAAGTATCATCAGCATGTCTTGGTGATTCTAACTGTATAGACATATCTGTTAGAGCATCATCCTGTGGTATGAGACAAATATGAGACTTGCCACTACTGTCTTCAAGGAATTCAAACTGAATATAATAACGTCTCTCTATAATAGGATATTCTGGTTGTTCTTCTGGATTCTATATAGTAAAAGGGAGATAATTCAAATGAAAGAATTCTATATTCAAAACCAACCTGATAACAAAAAAGCATTGGAACGTCACCATTGTTACAACAACACTCCATTATCAATAATTAGATTAGATTGTGGTTCACTTTATCAAAATAGCTATGTATTTAGCTACTGAATTATAACCAATTGAAATCAAATTCTATCAGCTGGCAAAGTCAAACAATAATATCTTACCTTTAATTCCTCTGGTACAGGTAAACCTTTAAGATAGGATACTGACAATGTTAACTTAGCTTCATCTAATATATACTCTACAAAGACAACCGTGCTATAAAAGTACATTGCATGTCATGGGTAAATGAGTTTTTGTGAGGATCAATTTTGCTATTTATTAACATTTGATAGAAGTAAAATCAAAATGAAATGAAATGAATGGAGTTTTACGTCCTACTTTTCTGCACCATGTGGGCTAATGAAGACGGACAACGCCATGCAGGGTCAAATGAGGGAAGTTTTGCCACGACAGCGGCATAAGCCTGCTCTTTTCAATTTCTAACTATCGGGGGATCTTTAACATGCACAGCCTGTAGCACACAGAGCCTCGGTAAAATCAAGCACAACTATCTTATCATTGGTGTTTATAATGATAATCGAAAGAAATGTATATGGACTTGAAAGGCTTGGAAAATACAAAAAACTCAAATAAATGAAAATAAGGAAATCCATCTTTAAAATCAAAAGAACAATTTATTGAGAGATGATTATTAGTGATCTAATTACTTGCTAGTTATAAATAAAACACATACCTCTTCTTCGTGCCAGACCTTTAAAATGATGTTTTTCATCAGCAGAAATCATCAGATCATCTAATATATATAATTTTCTTAAACTGTCAATAATATAACCTCTATAACCTGGTATAAACTACAATATAACAAAAATAAAAAAAAAACATGAGTTTTAAGTAAGAAAGAAAGAACTATATTTTACAAGGATAAAAACTTAGGTTCACAGTTAAAGATTCTTTCTACCAGCTGGTCCTTGGCCTAACCTCTTGGCATTGATCTTTTCCGGTTTATCCATCCCCATTTACAGCTGAGTGGATTGGAATTATGAGTGAAGATGACTTAGGCTATTCAAGGTTGTCCGACTATCAAACGCCGAGGGAGGATTGAACCCAAAGCGGCCATTTGCCCGGCGTAACCAAGCAAATGACGTCATGTTAAGAACCAACGCTCTAACCGACTGTGCTATAAAACTTCCCCTTATAGCTACACTCGGTGAAATAACTGGATGATGTCGGCGTTCACTTTTCACTTAATATATGTTCTTCTCTTGAGATCTTGGCCAGTGCTTTTATAGGAGAGAGGGGAGTATCTTCTATAAACCCCAATCAATTCTAAAATTTGATGATTTTTTGTGTCAAAAATAAACACTAGTGCATATGTCTAAATTAGAATTAATTTCCTGGAAGTGCTCAAATGCTTACTGACTATTACTATTCTGATATTCTTAGTAGAAATATTTGTATATTTCTGTATTTTTCACATTGTTTTCAAATTTATTGAAAAAATACTGACTGTTACCTAGTTTTTTTTTTGTTACAGTAACTTAATAAATCTTTTTGATATTATACCAACATAAAATTATGAGTTATAACAGATAATTTTATAATCAAAAGTTTACCAGCTGCACATTCGTAAAATTGTCAACTTAAACAAATATCTTGTAACTACATGTAGTTTAGGCCATACAATATGACATCTGTGACAATAGAAGCCATTGCCTAGAATTTTACTTAAGTATAATCTTCCTCAAAAAGTATGAACTTACAGATAACGGGTTTCCTTGTAAAATTAAATTTCGTAATTTTGGTAACGTTCCTAATTTTCTGACAACATCTAATAAATCAGTTAAATTATTATTGCATAAATCTAGGGACAATAAAGCTGGCCTGAAATAAAAAGCATACTAATTACAAGGTCTTAGAATGAACATAAAATTTAAGAATTTTAAACTTGGTCAATAAGAGCATATATTCATCAGTAGATATACCTGGTGTCATAAATAACATAACAGGATCCTTATATAATCTGATAAATCCAAAAAAATAAGAAATTATTCATAAATATGCAATTAACTATTAAAAAGTTTAGAGGTATAAAATGCAACCTTTTAGTGTTATCATCTGATCATTTCCCTTATTGGTATCTCTTTTCATAATGAAAATCAAAAGTTGGGTTTGCCATCATTTCAAATTAAAACATAGAAAGCAAACTAACTTTTTTTTGTGTAGGTCTGTAACAAGGTCTGAAAAATTAAAGCTTTTTGGACTCTTTTGTAGGCAGGTTATACATTTAGATATACATGGCAAGAGGAATAATAAAATGACAATAACCTTTAAACAATTGAGAGCTTTTCAAAAAGTGTCCTATTGATTTTAACAAAAAACAATGTAACCAACTTACCAATAATCTCCTGTGATATAATCACCAATATAAGATACTCTATTAAAACCTAAACCAAGATGTGAGAGATTTGGTGGCGGCTTGATACATAATGATGATAAATCACGAATTTCATTGGCACATAGTTCTAAAACCTACAATAGAAAACATAAAGGGTTAAAATAGCAAAATTTTATATAATATAGAATATTAACTGCAAAGGAAATTCAGCCTCTGCAAGATCAACACGCCTTTTGTATATTGTAAGATTAATATTTGAATACCCATTTTTGGTCCTGATGAGGACTGTATATCTAATACGCAGAGGCTTTATTTGAGATCTTGTCAAATAATTGATTCGAGATTGATAAAAATTAGTATCTGGAACAACCTGTAAAGAGTTCACTCCCCTTTCTGACTATCTTAAAAGAGTGGCCATAGGTAAAAAAAAATTAGAAATAATATAGACAAGGCAAGTTAACATACACTCACAAAGTAGAAGTTAAGACATGATATTGTATTTCACCAAAACGTTGTTTAATTATAACTTGTGTTACCGGTATCTAACTTTAATATACCAAGTTTCATCCAAATTTAATGAAAGCTGTAGCTTCTATGATGCTTTCTATATACAACCACATAGATTATCATGTGGGCGTATAAAACTTACCTTTAATGATACTGGTAGATTTCTTGAATTGATAGATGTGATCAAATTAGCACTCAATGTTAAGTTTTCTAAATTTCTCAACTCTAGTAATAGATCATCAACTTCTGTAACCTAGAGGAGAAAAAAAAGAATAAAAGTACTTATCTGAAAACTATTGCAGTGCTTTTAGATAATATCCCATATTAATGACCCATATTTGACAGTAACTAATTCACTCTCAATCATTAAATCTGACTGATATCTCATTAATATTCCCTCTAAAGTCTAAATTTCATGACCTATTGATGTATTAGGAATTCAAGAAATCGGCTTTAATATCAAGGGAATTTGATCATTTTGAGTAAACTTACATTGTCCGCAAATTATTCCCTTTTTTTTTATGTGGTATGAATTCATGCAATATTTGTCATTTCATAAAGTATGTTACACCTGACTGTTACTGAACATAGAATCCAGTGTCAAAAAAATTTCTATAAAGTCGTGCACAAATCCTAAATATATTTTACTTACATTTTTATCAACAATTCGTAACGTCTTGAAATGATTCAAAACAAATCTATCATCTATTAACCATGGAGATTTGACAGCTATTTCACGTAATGTTTTAGCTTCTTCACTCCAACTGTAATCTAAATGCCATGGTGAAAATTTGGAGTTCACATACTCTTGTAACGACTCAGTTTTCTCTGTTTCTGCTCCATAGTCTGCAAAATCAATGAGAAGAAATTATTGAAGACATTCTTGTTACATTAAGCTGAATTTTTCTTGCCTAATTTATTTTATACCAGGTATAGAGCATTCTGTAATGGTTCAGAAAAGTTCACCTACATTATATGAATGAAACATAACTGAATTACAAAATAGTCATAACAGTCACTAAGGACTAATGACACTTTTTATGATTTTGAAAGCAAATAGCCAAGAGCCTCAGCAGATGAGCTGTAGAACAGTTAGTAAGACTGTAAGAACTTTGACATCATGTGTTTTGTTATGTCCAACCCAAGTTGGTCATGCAATGTCAATCAGGATGTCAAAATCTGGTGACCTAATGAATCATCTTCTTCATTATTCCAGATAACCCAGCTTTAAATGTGTATGGATTATCTGAGAAATATCAACGTAAAAGAGTTTCACCAAAGACCAGTGGTGTTATCCTTGTGAAAAATTTTTTTGTCTTTTCATTTCAAATACAACTGGACAACTATATACTGGACAAGAAAATAGCGAGTAGTAAGCTTACTTGTCTACTTCATTGCATATTCTGTTTGAATCCCAAATATTTTACATATGATGCTGAAGGTCATAATTAATTGTGCTTGGTACAATGGCAATTTTCAGTAGTCAGAATCGACAGGTGCTAGATTTTTTCAAATTTAACATTTCAAAAAATACTGCCAAAAATTGTTATTTGACATTATTTATCCAAAAACTTCATAGAAAAAAAAAAAAATTAAAAACACTGTTATGAAACCTTTTAATGTAACAGTGAAGTAGTTTTCAATATCTTCTCGATTTTTTTCTACTTTGACTGATGACACCAGTACTGGTTGTGTCTTCGTTCTCTGAAATATTAATATAAATCAGCTTTGACATAATATTTCACAGCATCAATTTTTGACAAAAATGTCAATGTTTTCACACTTGCAAAAAGCTTGAAGATTCCATTAGAGTAGAATCTACCAAGAGTATTTACAGGTACTAGAATATTATTCCTTTGACCAATGATACTTAAGTCTCAGAAACTAGAATATTTGAGCCTTCAAATCTGTGTGTGTCCAGAATTATCTGAGTTTGAATGTTAAAATTCATAGTTTGAAGTATTTTTGAGTTTCGTACATGTCTTGTACTTATGAAGACTATAACTTTTACATATTTTCTAGATTCAAATCAACCCCCCAAAATGGCACAACTGTCCTGTGATCATCAAAACTGTAAAGTATGCTAAAACAGCCTTTTATAAGTTATAATAGAAGACAGGACAATTCATAACAGCTCTTACTTTACGGACATCACCGATAATTGAGGTTCTTGAAACAAACATTTTGCATAGGCAATCAGTTCAAAGCCAGATTTTCAATTTTTCATCCGACTTATTTTTTTGGTAGATTGGAGTGAAACCTGAACTTTACTTTGTGTGTACTTTAGTTTGGTATTTTCCTTCCTTAAGATTTTTTTAAGTAACACCTCACACAACAGAGCAAAAACTTGCTACCATATATAAAATATAAGCTTAGGATTAGATAAATGTATGAAACAACTCCAAAATAATACTTAGAGTCTTAGAATGGTTTTGGGTTGAAGGAAATGTAAACAGAAAAAAATAATTACATGACAATATGAATTTAGGAGGGGGAAATTTTCTGTCCTAAATGAGTGATTTTATGAGAAACTTTATGGATGTAAAATTGGACCTCAACTCGAACTTCTCAAGACACTCCACAAATTGGACATTTTAATATTTGTTAAATGATATCAAAATATTTTCAACTCATTGTGGTCTAAGACTGGGAAGAGAAGTGGAAGTGGGCTAGTAGTAGTAGTGAAATGGCAAGAAATAGTTGAACATTGATGAAGAACCTTCTTACCCATGATCCCCCACCACATGGAAATTCTTTGAGACACAAAGTTTTCAGTTGCGTTTCGAACGCCGAGGAAGCAGAGATAGTGTTTACTGTGGTCATTCTCAGAAAACATGCGACAAATAACTAAAATTTCACGACCAGAAGCTTGTTTAGTTTTTTGGCAGCCATTTTGACGCTAAATGGTGCATTTTGGGATATATCTGCTACTAGGCTTGACAAAAAATAAATAATATTCAGATGTAACCAAAACGAATCAACTCTTTAAGTCTGTAGTAAGAATATAACTTGATTCAAATCCAATAATATTGTAAAGTACGTAGCTCAAATTGAAATATTTCTGAGATGTGATATAAAACTAACTCGTGTTTTGGTAAAAAAAACCCGCCCAAAATCTCTTTCGTTTCACATCCGAGATAATTCCGCAAAACAAGTTAATAAAATGGCAGCAAGAAAAATGAAAATTAATGACCTGTGAGAATTTTCAACACCTTCAGGTATTATTGACATGATGTCAAGAGTTCAATCATGGGTGTCCTGTCTCTAAACGGATTTGTAGAGTTTTTTTCTGCTCCACAAATTGTGTTATTATTGTGTTATACTGTTATGTGTCATCGTCTTCGTCTTCACTAATTTTTACAGACACAGTAATGAGTACACGTTTACAAATATAATCAATTATAGATCTAGTCTAAGCAAATCAAAAAGGTTTCTTGAATTTTTTCGATATTTCTTAAGACTTGAAATAGTACTGCTAGTATTAGAATGTATTTGGGTTGATGAAAATATAATCTTTTGTTTGTAAGTTTACTTTGAAAAGAAACACATTTCTCTCCTAGAAATTTCAAATCAACTCAGCAAAGTCACAAATTTTGGCTGAAAATTGTCTTGTGTAAAAACAAATTTTGAAGACACAATGTCAATGTGTGCTTAATGTTTATTGATTATAATGAGGAATATCATGCGTTATTGAATTTCGTCAAACTTTACACGTAGAACACACACATTTTTTTCTAGGACATTTTTTTTGGAAAAAAAAAAACTTGCAAAAACTTCAACCAGAAAAAACTATGCAATAAAAATAAAAATCAAGATTAAAATTATGCACATTTTAAGATTTAAGCTATAGAAATCGGAATACTTATATTAGGGTTCTTATCACATAAAAAAGACCTGAGAAATTTGGTATCTTTTCAAAGCGATAAGGGTACATAATATCCTCACAAAATCAATAAAAATTATTCTATAATTTCATTTCATTTTAGAAATGGATCATGAAGTAATTAAAAAAAGAAGACATTCGTCAAAGTCTAAGAAGAGGAAAAGAGATAGTTCAACCTCCACAGATTCAAGTTCAAGTGATTCCTCAGATGACAGGAAAAGAAAAAAACACAGAAAACATGATTCAAAGAAGTCAAAACATAGAAAAAGGTCCTGTTGAACTTTTCTGTTAGTAATTTATCTTAAATTAAATTTATGTTTATGTACTGGTTTTTGAGAAAAGACTATAGAACCAAAATCTACAGATTAGGTATCAAGTTACTATTCAACAGAAGACAATGGCACAGGGTAAAATTTTGAGAAATGTGTCCCTTACCTTATATGAATGTTTTAACTAAAAGTATCTTGCCCTTAATATTTAGGAACCTAAACTTAATAAGAGTTTATTAAGAAATATTAAAACAGAACTTGAATCATAATGGTTTATTTGAAATTTAAGAAGTTGTTATGTATGGATTTTTTTTTGATCAATCATAGTTTAGTCTCAGAAACAGGAATTATTTTTAGCTATGCCAATCAGTAATAGTGTTGACAACAAAGGTTTGAAAATTATAATGACAAGTTCTTTTTTTTCTTGAGACACTGCCATATATAGGAAAGATATCTATACGAGTTATTTTTGAAGGAATTATGCGATTTTCGTACATTCCTAGTACTTCTATAGATTCTTTTGATCTTTTGTATGTGTGTCAATATCATTATGAAGATGTGAACTATTGAATTTGGTGAGGATCCGATGATTTTCTTCAGAGATATCGCATAAAACTCTGATATTGCGTTTTTTCACTTTTTTGGCTTGTGCTACGATATAGAGTTTGTTTTACCGTTCACATTAAGCTCTTTATCAAGCTACTGGTGGGCGTATTCGCTTGCGAGACTTTCCGCAAGCCTATGTTTTTTTTACATCATCCAATCTTTAGAGAGTCCACATAAATAATGTTCCTAATGTTTTCTTTTAGATCAAAGGTTTCATCTTCCTCCTCCTCCTCCTCTTCCTCCTCTTCTTCATCATCAGAAGAAGAAAGGCGAAGAAAGAAAAAGCGTAAAAAGAAGAAGAAATTGAAGAAGCTGAAAAGGAAAGAAGAGAAAAGGAAAAGTATAGAAGAAGCTATATTAATACAGGAAAAGATTAAAAAAGGTGGGTTGAAATTCAGTGTTAATTTGTTAAAATTAAAAGGGTTGTAAAGAGGTTTTCTAGGAATTTCTTGATATAACTTTGGGGGCATCTTTTGGTTTCAAGCAGCATCTGTAGCTCTTAATGTAATATAATATATTATAAGAAAATGCTTAATTTTAATAGTTTAGAATTGAAAGAATCAAACTTAAAAGGGTGAAAATGGATTTTAATGAAAACCATTTTTAAAATCTCTTTGGTTGTATCCTATGTCATTCATTCACCTTTGAAATGGAATTAGATTCTAGTAACATTCCAACAAAGAACATTTTCAAATAAATTTGTTTATGAAGTCATCAACGGATGTAAATGGCTGACACAGCCTGTGTTACAGTTGACTGTTTGTTGTACCTTTTGATAAAAGAAACGGGGTTTCTTATAGTTTCTTTCTCAAAAGTTTCTTAGAACTTAAAGCATTCATTACAATATATAAATTCTAATATAGTCTTGTATGACCAGACGCAGTTAAAAAATCATCCAGTATTGGTCCAACCGCTCGTGTATTGAAACCTATGACAAAAGAAGAATGGGAAAAACAACAAAGTATAGTGAGAAAAGTTTATGATCCTGAAACTGGACGGCATCGGTAAGGAATTTTTGTTATTTGCTGAGGTTCTATTGATGATTTTGCTATGACATCAAAAAGAGCTGAATTTGAGATTATTTAAGAAAAGTGAATTGATATAGCTATAGAACTTGGTTTAATTTTATCATTAATTTTCAGATGTACTTTCTGATAGAACATATATATTAGTTATCTAAAGCTGGAAATCTTAGCTATTTGATGTTGACACCAGGTCAACTTTCGGAAACACAGGAACCTTGTTAATGATTTTAAACCACGGCACCTAATCGTGTAGCAGACGACAATCAATCTCGCTACCCACTGAGCATTTCCACTGTCTTTTTAATAACCGTTATTCAAATTTTGTCTCAATTTTATGAGAATTTTTGTTTATTCTGGCCAAATGTAACATTTATTTTTCACAATTTTCAAAAAATTTGATATGATATTTTAAGATTGATAAAAGGAGATGGAGAGGTAATAGAAGAAATAGTTAGTAAAGAGAGACATAAAGAAATAAACAAAGTTAGTATGTTTCCTTGATTCATCCAAGATTTGTAAAGACTCAAAAAATAAGCAGGTCGTAATATATAAAGGGGAAATACGTGCTTCATGTTTTGATCAGTAAATTGGTTCATACTACCACTTTAGCACTTATTTTAAAAATTATTTAATATCAAACTTCACTGAGATTTAGGAAAAATTGAAATAAAAAGGTTGAAGAAACAAATCTACCTTAGATAATCTTTCTTTTAAATCAGCTAAATTTTATGATATATACAGAAATAGCTTTCTTTATGTCACTTGTAAGTAATAAGATTGTGTTTTTTTTACACTTCTCAGTGTCCACTTATTTATTCTGTTTTAATATGATGAAAAACATTTATTTTGAACATTGAACATCTACTCATTGCTACTGTGGTTATTTTACTGCTTGAATTAAAACCATAATGTTGTGTTAAGTCAAGATATGATTTGATTTTTTTCAGACTGCAACAAAAGGTGATGGGTTATATTACCAAACACAAGCAGGTTTAAACAGATAGCTGAAATGCATGACCGGAAGGCAACTTATGTAAATATGGAATTGTGTACAATTTTAGAATAAGATTTGTGTCCCAATTTTACACAGGGAGATTTACATTAGAAATGGATCTCAGTGAGATTAACATTTGAATTGGTTCTCAGTGAGATTAACATTTGAATTGGTTCTCAGTGAGATTAACATTTGAATTGGTTCTCAGTGAGATTAACATTTAAAATTGATCTCAGTGAGATTAACATATAAATTGGATCTGTGTGAGATTAACATTTGAAATTTATCTCAGTGAGATTAACATATAAATTGGATCTGCGTGAGATTAACATTTGAAATTTATCTCAGTGAGATTAACATTTAAAATTGATCTCAGTGAGATTAACATATAAATTGGATCTGCGTGAGATTAACATTTGAAATGGATCTGCGTGAGATTAACATTTGAATTGGATCTCTGTGTATTCCATACTGTTGTGTTATTTGATACTTAGTTGAAATAGCATTTTATAAGACCTTCACAAGTTTTTTTTATTTAGTTTGTTTGGGAAAAGGATGATACCTATTACTAAGTTTTATGTAGATAATGCTTTGCATGGATATTTTAAATTTGTTGGCTGGGTTGTTTTATTTGTATTTTGAATATTTGAAATCTTATTGTATTCTTGAGGTGACTGCCTTCCTCACTCATTCAAGGATCTAACAAAGTCTATAATTATTTCAGGTTCAGTAGACAATTAACCTTTCTTAAACAGATTTCTCTCTCTTGAAATATGTAAAAGGCTTTCATATCTTATCTTAGTGTGTTACCACATATTTGTAGTAGATATATTTCTCTTGTTGATATAATGATTAAAACAATTTCTATTTAAGACTAATACCGGTACTAATTTCATTAGGGTCGGGTCCCCCTTTTTAGTACATGATCAGATATCGTATCACGAATACGAGTTTTGACATGGTCTTATTAACCCGTATTAAACTAAGCCCACTACACTTTGGTTTGTGGGGGTGGAAATGAAATTGGTGCTATTTGAATCAGACCAATCAGATCAATAGAATGGAAATGAGGTGATGTAAACAAAACATAACATTGCTTTGTCGCTGCCCGTTTGAAGAGATAAGAACACATTCTTTCCAAGTCAATATTCCAAAGTAAGGTTTGATTTTCTCTCGGCTATAATTCTGTACAGTACATATTAATCAAAATATGCAATGGCATGCTGCTTTCATTTGTTATGAGTGATTTGTTTTGATTGGCTGAAATTTGGCTACCAATACAGCAGGGCAAATTTTGATAGGACAATATTTATCTATGATTAAATAATTTTTCCCACTTGTATAACCAAGGTCTTGAAGAAGTATATGGAATGGGGGCGTGGTTTGGACACGATGATGTTCATGCATAAAGGGTGTAAAGGGGTTTGCCACTTTGTTCTTCTGAAGAAGGCCGTGATTTAAACTTAAAATCATGGAATTCAGGAAAGAATATAATGACAATTCAGTTGATTTTCATAGTTTATTTTGATCATGTGGAGTGAACCAAAAATAAGCAATAAATTACTCATAACAAAGTGAAACAGTCAAGAAATAGTAACTTTTGGAAAATTTCTTAAATATTTTTAAATATAGTACATGCATTAGTTTAAAGTCAATGATTCTCCAAAAGTTAACACTTCTTGACTATAAATAGTGACAGAACAAACACAAAACATAATAGTACAAAGTTTGACATACAAATATGACACAATAGCTGCCTTTTACTCTTTCTTATATTTGGTGATATAGCACTAAAATTCATTATGAAATATGAAAAAATTTCTCAAATTATGAACCAAAGCACAGATTCTTCTTATTACAAGATAGTTTTTACTAACAAAACAGACAATAAAAATCATGCGGGAACATTTGAGTTTAGCACTATAGCATATTTTTTTTTATATTTCATATAAATAAAATTCAACATTTCCAAGTAATAATAACAAAGATATCTTAAATGTCTTAAAGTCTAAATGACCTAGGTCTTTATTAAGAAAGAAGAATGATGGAATAAACTTAAAATAAATTATATTTCAATACCCGATATTAAACATTTGATACATTGACGTAACATATGAAAAGATGAATGATGTGATGACTGACAATGACAATACGAAGATGGTGATCACAGACTAATATAACATTATTTAACTTCAATTCGGATTCCTTAATTTGCTTTTGCACTTTATGCAAAGCACAAAGAAAATTCCAAACCCAAATTTTAAGTTGTTAAATACATCATAGATATAACATTAAATTAAGTACTTTCTATTTTACATATTGGCACATTACATGACACTGAAAAGCGACATCTGCAGCAACGAACAAAATGTCATACAGTGCTCTCTTACAAGATTACAAATCTTGAAAGTTACACGATTTATTCTAAATGCAAAAATACTAGATCAAGTCAATGCTAGGAGGTGGTTGTGATATTCATTGATGAATTACTTGAACTCACATTTGGTAAGGAGACCATGACAACTGGTTTAACCATTGGTTGTCCAATCACTGGGCTTTGCTGAATTTGATGTAGAAGCGGCTGATGAAGAATGGGCAATTGTTTTAATATTTGTGGGGAATTCATGATACTATTAAACTGGGCAGGAGTTAAGCCAGTCATATGCAATGCCTGTGGTAATTGGGGGACGACTGCCATTGGTGTAACAGTACCCATGTGAGCTAACGACACCAATGTTTGTTGACCTCCTGTTTGTCCAGCTTGAGATGTCAGTGTAGCCCTTGGGAACTGGGCAATCATTGGATTAAGTAAGTGGCCTGCAACCAATTGTGTCGGAGGGGGTGGAGCCAATATTGGTTTGATTGCTGACATATTAGCTAAGCTGGTGACAGAGGGTGTGACCATGGTAGTTATCAGCTGATTGGTTGGTCTGTTCATGTTGTTATTTGATAAAATAGTGGAAAACGTTGGAGAAGCAACTGAACTCTGAACTGTCTTAGTATGTCCTAAACCAGCTACAGCAGTAAGTTGACTTAGAGCTGACAAAGTTGACATAGACTGTGTAGATGGCATGGGCACTATTCTTGTAGAGCTGACCATAGCTGCTGATGTTCTAGTCAAAGCATTAGGTACACCTACAGTTGTAGAGGTTGTAGTTGATTGGAGCATATTTGATTTGGTACCTTTGGAATTAAGAGATGGAGATCCATTCAACCCTGTAGATAAGATCTGAACTTGTGTTGATGAAACAGGAAAAGACAACTGTTGACGAAGTAACTGGTTCATCACTGGTGGAACTATAGAGGATGTGTTCATCGTACATGCTGGCATGGCTACAAAAATATATTTCTATAATTAGTTAGCTAGTGAAGGGCTGGTGTTTTTTTTTTTCGAAGACCAGTAGATATTGTTTCTGAAGATGACTCATAAAAGGTTACCATGAACTAAATTTTAACAGTGGCTACAAAATGTCCAGCAACACTCATGTGGTATATAAATGTATTCATTAGAATTCTACAATAACAGTGATAAAGCACCTACACTGTGTTACAGTCTGTTTTTCTCGTTGTTTCTGTAAAGCTTGACGTTTACTCAATGTCTGCTGTAAAAGTTGTGTGACTGGGGGACGGATGTGAGTTGCCATGGTGGGTGTTGTAGCTGATACAGTAGTTGTGTAGGATGTAGCAGGAGCTAATGGTCTAGGATTTTTTATAATCTTCACTGGAATACTTTTTATCATTGGAACTTGATATGAAGACTTTCCTTGTTTCACTGGAAGTATTATAAATAAGTAAAATTTTAGTGGTTAAGATCGGGTGAATGGAGCTAGATGTCAGTCAAAATATCACCTGATTGGAATATTCTGGACAATAAAGTGAGCCATGACTACAGACTACAGACAAACACCATACAGTGTGCATCTGATCAACTCTGTATTAACCATGCAATGCACAGGGCCATTGTCTCTGACTCAGCAGAATGACTCAGATCTGCAAACCCAAACCTATTTGATTAAAAAGACTCTTGCAGCATTGATAATAATGCATTTCTTTATAGGGACTGCTTTACCATATTGGAAGTTGATTTGGGTCTTGACTAAATGTCTTACGATGTCAACGATTATCTTACAAAAAAAGTTTCATTTTTATAGACTAAGGCAGGTCTGTGCAACCTATGGACCGCGAAATCATTTTATTTGGCCCTGCGGCGTCATGTAAAATTTGAAGGAAATGCGGCCCGCGACCAAATGCTTCTTTGCTCTTGTCACTGTCCATCACATCCAAATGAATCTAACTAATCAAATTGTTAACGAGGTCTGTCCTTGTGTGAAACAGTGATTTTACGTCAAATATGTCTGCTATTTGAAATGCACATTGAAATATGTCATTGTATAAATGACTTGAAAAAATTGCTTGTTTCTCATTGTTAATTCCATGATCCATTTATGGATGGTTGCGTGGCTCACGGCCTACTCGCATACCCCAAATGTGGCCCGCCGTTGCGGAAACGTTGCACAGGCCTGGACTAAGGTAATATTGCTCAACCTGGCCCTTTAAACAAATTTTGTAAGGTCAATAAAAAAAAATACCTTTCACTGATTTAACTTTACGCCCTGGTCTCTTTAACTTGTCATCTTCATTATCACTCATTATAGGACTACCAGAGCCTGAAAGACATTATGTTATGTAGGTTAATAGATCAAATGGTCATTCAATTTGTTCAAATCCAGTAGGTCTTCCACACAAGAAAATATCAGAAACACAATTCCTGATGGTTACTTCTGTATTGGCCAGCATGCAACATCCTGAAAGACTGAAAATGCTGTCAGTCAGGAAATATGGATATAAAAATCTGTCCAGTTAAATTAACTGAAATTTTTTTTACCTGAAGCAGTCGATGTTGAGTTGGTTTCTTGTTCATTTACTGGCATCCATTTTGTCAAATCAACATCCATATTCATCTTTGCCAAATCAACTTTCAATTTGGCAATTTTCTCTCGTAATCTACACTTTTCATTTGACAAGCTCTGAAGATCTTTTTCTAAATCTCTTTCTTTTCTCTTTAAATTCTGAAGAAAGTTATTTACAAATAAAATATAATGCCAAAAACACTTACATGAGGGTGACACTTTAAGGGTGAAAATTTGGTTGGTAGGATCACTGGCCAAGGAAGCAGAAATGACTATTTAATTCATAAATAACTGAACTATATCAGTGTGTGAATCACTAAATGACCGGATATTTTCTGACAGTGCACTTTTAAAATCAACCTGTGGCATAAGAGCAAAAAAATGTAGCTTGATGCTCAAATAATATTCATTATTCAATTTTATCTTTTGAATACTAGATGTCTCCAATTAACTCCCACGCATCTCCACAACATTCACATAACACGTGATCAAAGGCTTTGTTTACAACCTTGTCAGCCAATCAAAAGCTTCCAGGTGCCACCATTCAGCTATATATAGTTCAGATTAAATTAACTTAATTCATCTAGGTCAAACACGCCCCATATGTTAATTAGCTCCTCCCATCATGTTCATATCAACGTGGCTAACTAGGCTACTATGAATAGTAATGTGTCAAAATTGTGAAATATGAAAAGAACTTGCCAATTTAAGGGCATAGATAATAATCACATGACAATGACGAATAATGAAATACGACATAAAAAAATAGCCAATATTTAAAGTCCAAACCTCATATCTAATGCACATGTAACTGTCATATAATTAATGAATGCTCATCAACATGAATAATAATAGATTCTAATCAATCAGAAATTGTTGAATACCAGGTCATGTCATTGTCAAATATGTAAATAATATGTGTAGACACCGTATGGTGATAGTACTCCCCAGTACCCTATAATTTACAAATAATTTAAATTCTTTGAAGATTTAGTAAAAAATGCTACATCAGCCAAATGGAATAATGAAATAGATGACAAAATTCTTTCAATCCAATGAGCTTTTAATAAATTTACAATTATTCTACAGTTATACTCCTTATAAAAACAACCAAAAATCTGATTCCTAGAGATGATCAAAAAAAGAACATTATGGAAGATTATTGATGAGAATGATGATGATAATGATATATTATTTGGCATAACTTACAGAGAAACTACACTATAAATAGCATTTTGAGGATCATGGCATTATCTTAGTTTATTACCTGAATAAATTTCAATGCTCCCCTTAAAATGCTCAAATTGGATGTCTTCTTTTCTTCCATGTATGGAACTTGAACTTTCAGCAAGTCAAAACATTCTTTCAGATGAGCTCTCCTAAAATGTAATACTTGGCTTTTAATCAATTTCAAAATAAAATTGCAAAAATATATTAATTTCCAGATTGCAATCAATGCCCAATAGCTTCAAACAACAGGATCAAGTCAGAGAGGACTTTCTCCAATCCAATTTTTTTGTTAGCACTGTTAAAAGCCTTTTTAGGTTTTTCTATTTCCAGTCTATGGTATCAATGTGGAAGTAGGTATGCATGCACCATACTTTTTCTGAAATTGAACTAAAGTCACAAAGACCTGTAGTCTATGATTATTAAGCATTGATTGATTTTCTCAAATTCAAAAGGCTTCCTGAAAGAATAGAAATTCGCTTTTTAATCAAACTTACCTATTTTTCTCCAATTTATTGTGTGTTTCTCTAGTCCCAGCCCTAAAAATAGAAAAAAGCATCCTTTGAAATGAATTCATACTCCTTTTAATTTAATAATAATACTCTTCTATTGCCCAAACAAGGTATTTTTTTGCATATAATTATTAAGATATTTCATTGCAATGATTTCATGCAAATTTTGTATTCATCCAATATTTAAAATACATATAAATTTACCACGCAGGTCAAAATATCAGTTAAATGAAAAGATTACCCTCCAGCTCGACGCTTCTCTTTATTGTTGTCATCAAACTGATGGTGACCTTCTAAACTGCCATCCAAAGAAGAGTTGCCATCATCCTCATGTTCTTCATCCATTTCAGATTTTATAAATGTCATTATTTCCCCTTCAGGAGATCCAGTCTCTGTAAAGTACAAAAGTCAGTTCTTGTTGCCTGCAGAAATATAAAGTTGTGTGAAAGACAAAAATGCTCTCAGCCATAGGCTAAACAATTAATGACATAGCAGGTTTCTTCTTAGGCCAGCACTAGGCTTATTCCTGTTATATTTCATTCAATATTTTTCTTTTTTTTCTATCTAAATTTTCCATGTTCATGGACACTTTATTTCTATAAATGAAAAACGTAGTATGACAAGCATGTGTGTGGTCCTGTCGGTCCTATCCACAATGCACAACCTCGAGAGAAAAAGTATTTACTACTAAATCGAATCACGCCATACTGTTTAGGTCATGCAGACAGCCAGACAAGCCATGTGCCATCTTACCACGTGTTTTAGAATGGGCGCTCCACTCGATATATTCAGCAGCCTCTAACAACGTATCTAAACTCATTATCAACTGATTCAATGAAGTAGCGTTATCCTGTTATGTAACTCTTCAAGTAACATCAAATTTTCCAAGAAAAAAAAAGATGTTTTCTAGTAAAACAACACAGAATTCCGACTCCAACATAAGATGGCGGTCGTCAACTGGATCAAAACAGTAAGCAGTATGCAAATATTCGAGCCATGTGACTTTTGATTGACATATGTCAAGTTTGGACCAATCGAGCACCTGCTCTGCCACATGCCTATGACGTCATTAATAACATTAATTCACATAATATTATTTATATCTTTTACTATTCAGAAACTTTAATATCCCATTCCTTTGAATAAATGCCTCTATTAATTCAAAAGATCTTTTCAAAGCCATCATTTAAGTGTGCACTTGACACTTTTCAGTCGAACATTTAGACGTAAAAATTAGCTAGCCTTATGAATAATATTTTTCCAGTGGGCGTTTCCATTTTTGACATAGAATTTTGTTCACGCAAATTACCGCGAGAGCAAACGTGTAATAATATGGCGTCCGAAAGAGATTGTTGTTGACAGTTTGCTAAATAGAAGGCCTTGAAGTATAAAGTTATAAGTTACAGTTTGACTTTACTTGGTCAAGTTTGAAGAATGATATATTGTGCATGATAAATAATAGTAAGTATTAAGTCTGAGAACTACAACTGTAACTTTTCTTTCTCGCGAGGATTGATTGTGAATTTTACAAACTCATTTTGCATGTCCATCCACGGCACTCTAGCAGCAGTGACAGTAAGCAACATACAGTTCCCGAGTTACAGAACTGAAGCACTGTGACAGTGAGAAATCTACTAAAACTGAATCTGAGATCACTAGGTGGTGGTAGAATAATATGATGAGTTAATGTCCGTTTCAGGGCCAACTAATGTGATGTCACACAGACGAACAGTTTTTTTTGTTGAAGTAAACTATATTGAGTTCTAGTCCGTGCCACTACTACTAGGCAGTAGTGACGTTGACAGGACACTGTGTTTTTAGGGCCTACCAACTTAAAAAAACAAGCTTGTGACACTGTTTCATTAAATTTTTAATTTTGTGTCAAATAAATTAAAGGTTGATTAGCATTAGGCATTGGCCTATCTAGGAAGCTTTCTTTTCGACCTATTTAAGTTTTAAGCTTATGATATGAGACCTGCCAAATGAAAAAAACAAAATTGATATGATCTATGCCAAACTATGGTCAGTAAATAGTCAAATACATAGAGGGGAGTAGTAGACATACTTTCTGAAGTTATCTTTTTTATGTCAATACTATGTAGAAAAGATTTATTGTCCATTCCAATTGTGAACTAATAGTGTGTTGAAATCAATCAAATTTGCACTTATGCATAGAACAACATGGTCAAGTTCATAAATGTCATTTTTTTTTTTTTTATCAAAGACAATGGAATTAGTGAATAATTTCGTATGAACATCATTTTCTTCGTTATTTCAGTAAGCATGCAAGATGACTTTTGTGGTGATAGAAAATTTAAAGGGATTTTCCCAGTCTCGTCCACCTATTGTTGTATTTATGGTTTGTTTAGGAGCATTTGCTGTTGCTCTAATAACATTTGCCTATATTGTTAAAGTTCGTGATATGCCTAACCCTGATATGACAGAGGTAATTCTAAATTTTCTTAAATTTTTGGTGCAGATTTTTAAGTGTAGATATTAATGGAAATATTCTCATAATCAAAGGTAGACCAGGATATCCAAAAACTATGAAGATAAGATTTAGTCTGAAATATTTAAATTTATTCATGTATTTCATTTATTCATGTACTTTCAATTACAAAAGCTTTATATTCATATTCATAAAAAAAGTTTTATCATTGAAATACGTGCCTTTGAATAATGTAGTTTATAACTAGCGCAATGTTCATCTGCTTTAGGACCATCAGGGTTATTACAGTTATGTACAGTTTCAGTTGATTACAAACATAGATGAAAAGTGAGCTTACCGATAAAACCCAGATTTCTGTTGAGAGTGATTAAACATCAATGTGAAGACCATCTTTGGCCAAGAAACTCTGTATGGTTCTTACATGGAAATAACACACACGAACATAGTTCACAACCTCTACCTCGACATAATAAGTCAAATTTTAAAAGTCTATAGTATTGTAACAAAGCTTTCAAATCCCATTAAAAGCCATTTCTAGACCTTTTTAAAGCTTTGCTGAAATATTATATCCTTTTTTGAAATTTGACTTACTGAGTCGAGGAAGATATTCAAAATGGCCGTGAACTAAGTTTGTGTGTGCTTTTTCCATGTACATAGTTTTGTATTTCTTTGCCTACCTTCCTTCAAATTTGAGCCTTTTAACATGTTATTTTTATATTTTTAGGATTGGAATAGTTTTCTACAAAGTTTTTCTGATGTAGAGTTCTGTGTATTGAGTAATTCTAGTGATTTTGTCACAGAATCAACCAGTTCAGCTACTGGTACTAGCTCTCTACCCACTAAAAAGATGAGTGAGGTCCTGAAAGATATAGAAACAACAACTTTTAAACCTATAACTAAAGAAAATGAGGGAGTTGTGTAAGTATTTTAATTGACTTCTACAAACAGATCTAAAAATAAAGGGATTGTAAAGAGGTTTTTTAAATTTTCCTTGTGCATCTTTTTGGATTAATGCTGTAGATAACTATTTTGATGTATGTAAGCTCTGAGTAACAACAGCATGTTTTAATGAATGGTTTGCAACAGTAAAAACACATTGTTTTTTTTTTCTTTTCAGAAACATATCTTTATCGATGTTAGTTGAAATGACTCCAACTGTAGATTTTGTAAGCATTCCACATAATATAACCTATTTATCTACAACATTAAGTGGTAGACAACTTGGTTTAAATGGTAGGTATCTCAATGAATTTTTAATGTGGCCTAATTTGAACAAGGCTGCCAAAGTAAGCCAGAACATTGCACTATTTGGCACTTTCCATTTGCTCTGGTTGGCAAGTTCATACCATGCATTCAGTTTTAATTTTAATTTTTCACAAAATGGTTCATCTTTCCTATTGATATTAGGAAGCATTTTGCTCTATTGAGCGCAGGGGCTTTGTTATGTTATCTCACCCTCTTTCATAAACTTTGATAATAAGAACCTATTATTGATTTAACTTAAGCATTTATTTATATTTATAAACAGATAAACATGTTTTTGAGCTCTTGAATACTAGGAGATATGTGCAACAGAGTCCATAGTTACATTTCTTTGTAACATTAACAAGAATGACAATGATATGGTAATAGTGTTTATCAACAAGATCTGTGTCTTTACATGTCATGTGTTCAATATAAATACAGTTATAAATGGGGTTTATTGTAGGTCATGTAGCAGATCAAGTTATGAATGTTACTTTCACTTTACCATTTGAATGGAATACTACTAAATGTACTGGTGAAGACTGTATAACAATTCCAATATATACTTGTATCAGTTTCCAAGCTCCAGAATCTTTTTTTCCTAAAACAAGGTTTGTGTATTCTATTTTATTTCAACTGTTTATGTCAGGAAAAAAATCTGGAGATTTGCCTTGAAAAATCTGCTTGAAAAATCTGGGGATTTGCCTTGAAAAATCTGGAGATTTGCCTTGAAAAATCTGGGGATTTGCCTTGAAAAATCTGGAGATTTGCCTTGAAAATTTTTGAAGATTTGCCTTTTAAGCTTAATTATATGCAATAAGAACATAATGATATGATTAAGACTACATGATAATTCATTAGAAACACCAATTAATAAATAAGTTTGCTTAATTTGACACTAAAAACCATCTTTAAACCTCAAGCACCTAAAATACAAGAGGTTAACAAGCTGTAATTGTAAAAAGTAGAAATTACCAACAATATTTACCATTTTTTAAAACAAAAATTGAACATTGAGTCATCAATAATATTGATAGCATCTTTCTCAATGTAAAACTTAATATTTTTCAGCCAACCAGACAGATGTGTATCGAGTGCAGAAGGTGGTATAGAATATAGAGTTAAAATGGTTGGTCATAAAACAAGACAGAATGTAATGAGATGTGAAAAACGTCCTGTTATTCAAGTTAGATATCAACTAGATCCATCCCTCACAGTTATGTTGTCATTGGTATGCTACTTTCTATTTTAAAACATTGTATTTCAACAACATATATAAGAAGTTCTATTCAAACTTCTTATAACAAATAGTTCATTGTGTGATATTTGCTGCTTTAGACTGCTAAAAATTATCGGGACCAAGAACAGTGCAGCAGAAAAAGTGGCAGTGTAAATAGGTTGAGAGGACTAGACACTGTGCTAGTTTCAAGTTGGCCCGAGGTGGTCATGGTCCAGACCAAATACGGGGTGACAAAATGTCAATATATTGTAACTCCAATATTTATGCCAGGGCTGTTGATTTGGCTCTAATATGCTGGACATGACTGACGGGCTGCTCAAATGAATGATGGTCAATATCCTCTATTAGACATCTAGTATAGGTTAGACATTACGTGGCTTTCAATGTCTGTCAAATGTCTGTGAATTTCGCACAAACATAAATTTTCATTTCTGTGTGTGTCAAAAAGGTGACAAAATTAACACGAATTCTAAATAATCACATTGTTTATGGCGGGGCATTTTGAATATCAGCAAGCAGATATGTACTTATCATTCTGTCCCAGTGAAAACAGCGCAGTATACAAGCCTGTACGGTTCACTTCAAGAGGGCCTTTTTTTGGCAGAGTAAACTGACCTTTTTTATACTAGCTCACTACAGTTAAGATATATGACATGATATGAATAATGACAGATTTAACAATGTTAAACAATGTTAAATTTGACCATTTTGTCTTTTATTTTCAGAATGACCGTTCTTTGATTAACTTACATTTGATGCACACCAGTTACTTTCTCTTTGTAATGGTTATTACTATGTTCTGTTATGCATTAGTTCGGGGCCGTCCATCAAAAGGCAAAGTTGTTCATTACATAGAAAAGGTAGGTCCATGTAGAATTTTTGTTCATTTATGCCAATGAGATCCTGTTCAACAAATATTGAATACAAAAATGTAAGAATTATACTGTCGTACTGTATATTGTAAAGAGGTTTAATAAAATTTTTTATGTGTATCTTGGACACTGATAGCATCAATTTGCACCATCCCAATTTGCAATCAGACATCACTATAAGTCTTTAAGTGATACAGTGACGTCATCAAACACTTCGTTTTAGTGGAATTACAGGAAGCAGACGTCTGATTAAAAATTGGACTGGTACAAATACCATTTCTGTTTCCAATACACTTAAAAACTTAAGAAAACCAATTTAGAATCCCTTGAAATATTCTTTGTTGCCAAATTCACAGTTAAGGCTGTGCTATGAACTAATGGATATTAGCAATTTGTGAATATTTTCTCAGAATGTATTACTACCATGCTTATTGCTAGTACCTCTCTGCTTTTTTGTCTGATACGTTATACAACTAATTTTTTATTTAAATTTCAGGTTCCAACCTCATCTGCCTAACTTCTGTTCATCATCTCTACTGCCTGTGATAACTTACTTTCAGAATATTTTGTGATCTAAAGGGAAAAGAATATTTTTGTTATGTTGTTTCCAGGTGGATATGAATCTTTTCTACCAGAACAAGTATTTCTCTTGTGTTATTCTGTGATAGCAAGGTAACATTGGGTTATGCAGTTTTTAAGTCTATAGTTATCATATTTCTATCACAGAAGAGGTTTTTTGGGAAAGTGTGAAAGAAGATTTTATGTATTTATGGGCTTGTAAGTTGAATTACATAATTGTGTTTCTTGAAAGTCAGTGACACCTCAAGATATTGAGGAAGTTTATCTAATTTGATAAGACCTAATTGCACTTTTCATCTCTTTGCAAAATGAAATTTGTGAGTTGTGATCCGATTTATATATTATATTGAACATTTCACAAAATGACAATGATGGAACATCAAAGATAAGATAATTAGAACACCTTGGGGCCACTTAATTGGTGACTTCTGCACATTCAGGATTCGTAGAATGGAACAGACATAATAAAAAAAAGTTGGAACAGAGCTCAGAAGGCGTTCAACCTGTTTTGAAAAAATAGTAAGTTGAGACAGAATTCAAAATGGAGGAGAATGAAATAGATGGACAAATTTTAAATGTGACATATCTTGCTTTCATATTGTCCGACTGAGGCCAGAATTTGAACAGAGAGGTCAGAATTGGAACAGAGAGGCCAGAATTGGAACAGAGAGGTCAGAATTGGAACAGATGGAACATGTTCAGAACTCTCCAATCGAGTGCCACCAAGGGGATGGAACTAACACCTTGATCAACAAATCAGAATTTCATTACATTCCACCTAGTAACTTATCATGTCCTTACATATTATTTATGTCACATATATCATATTTATAGTGTTTCTTATATTACCTTACATTTTTTGTAGCATATTAATTCATGTACAGTATTGGTTGCAATTGCCTATACAATGACAATTGCTAGTATTGCAGATATATCATTGTATTGTTTCCTGTTTCTTTATTTTGTGTGAGAAGTATCAAGTATGTCTATTGGATATATTGAAATTGATATGCTGTAATATAGTTTTTGTGGGGTTTTTTGTTGAGAAATTGTTATTTCAAAATTTCGTCTGTTTAATTTGGCTCTCATATTCAAGTTTTAAAAACATTTATAGACATGATAGTTGAAGATCATAATATTACTTTCCTGAAAGGTATACTACTTTTTAGGATGACCCAAACATTTTTAAACTTGGTTAAAATGAGTCTTTGTTCATCAGTGGACTTATCTGGTGTCATAACTATAATACAACAGAATCCCTTTATAATCCAATAAATCCATTAAACTAAGTATATAATTCATTTAACAAGTAATTTTGAAACATGCTTAGAAGTGTGTTTCAATAATTATTTAGTTTAATTGATATAGAGATTCTTTTTTTTAGTCATGGCACCTGGTAAGTCCAACTGATGAAAATATACATTTGTTGACCAAGTTTAAGAATTAAAGTTTTATGTCCATTCCGAGAGGTAGTATCCTTTTAAAGTGCAATAGATGTGGGAGTTTTATAATTCCAAAACTGTTTATTGAGTGCTTATATGCCTATAAAGACTCTCCTTTTAAAAAAAATTGCTGTCCATGTCTACAACATGAGAGGAGCTCTGATCATGTAGACATAAAAGGAAATTCTAAGAACTAAAACCGGGAAATCATTTTCAAGTTGCAAAAAAAAAAACCTTGTATGATAACAAATAAAATTGTTTGTTAGCTAATATTTTGCCGTCTTGTATAAACTTTGTACTGTTATGTATAGGGAGAGTCTCATAATCTCACATATATTCTGATATATTTTTGTTGATGTTTTCAAATAACTGCTTATCTAGTTTCTATTGTTCAAGTTTAACAACAAAGTTTGAGTAATCCATGATTTGTTCTTTTATATACTTTAAATGTATTCATTAGTTACTGATCATCTTAGCTTTGATCATCTTTTGACAAACTGACATTGATTTCTCACATCATGCTTTGAGCCAGGGTTTTATTACTAGTGATGTGAATTTTTGCCAACCTGGATGTCAAGATGGTAAATTTGAAATTGTTCAACCTGATTGTCATCTGTGGGTTGTTGACATGAAAAGGGTGGTCTTTAAAATATTGGTGGGGTTGTGTGCTGCCAACTGTGCATGATAAATATTCTTGGACTAGTGGTTCTCAAGCAATTTTTTTTCAGTTTTCGGTCCTGAATCCCAAGTGTAAATATAGCTGGTATACTATTCAGTAACAATACCGCAAGTTGGCAAGAAACTCTGCAAGTTAACTGGGTAGGCTACCTGCGCAGACGATACATATATACAGTTAAGAATTAGAACTTTTGTTGGTCAAATGCCTCACATTCTTAAATGTTGAGAACCACTGCCTTTGGTAACAAATCTAAGTCACTGTGTGATGATATTTCCCAAGACATTACTCATCTTCATCAAAAGTAGAAAAGTAAGTAATCTTCATATCATATCAAACTACAATTGGACCAGTGCATGCTATTTTTTTATAATGTTGTGTTCTATGATTTTCATGACAAATAAAAAATATATATATATCAAAATAGCTTGAAGATCATTGGTCATTGTAAAAAGATATCTGTATATATTTTGTTTTTGTTAATTGTTATATAATGTTGATCGATTGTTTTTTTGTTAATATTATTACTTGTTAATATTAGTATAATTTGGCAAAGATATTTGTGAATAAATCAAGCAGTGTTATTGGTTATGACATAGAATAAAATGTAATTGAATTACCACATACATGTACCAAAATTATATTACATAACTTGTATCAACTGCTTTTAAACGTAAATTGTTTGTTTTTATATGTTTGAATTCTCATATTTGGACAGTGGATAAATATTTTTGGTCACCATATATTACCATATAAGAGAATCGATAGTGAAAAGCATTTGCGTAAAAAATATAGAAGATAAATTAACAAATCATTGGTTGTACAACTCAGCCATTGTTTCGTTTCTATTTCACAGCGTAGTGGGAATTTCTTTTTGGCATCTGTTTACTGAAAATTTGACTGAAGAGCAGTGCTTTTGGAAACATACTATAGTTGCCATATCATTTTTGTGTTAATTAAAACCACTAACTGTGGCTTACTTGGTTATTCTGAACAAAGCACCTGCTATGATAAGAGTGATTTCTTTATAATTTAATAAATTATCTTGATGCTGTGAAATAATTTGTATATATGGGATACCAATAAAATACATGACTAAATAACCCTGTTGTTTCCTTTGGTAGATTCACAATATTAGAAACTAAAATAGTTTTGTACTATGTACAGAATGCAGTGAATCAACAAACCATCTTAAGGTGAAATGAAGGTATGTTTTCCCCTTATGAAACCTTTGATATTCCAAATTCAGTCATGCGTCTCACCATTTTGTAGCCATCATTCCATTCCCCCAGTTCGTTGTCCGAATGGGGTGGGTGCTTGGCCTCGGCCAGTTAGAATTAAGCCAAATCTCAAAACGTTCTTCAGTTCAGCAGTCATTGATTAATTTGTAGTGTGTACATCTGTTTTTTGCCTCAATTTTTAGTACTATTTAAATACATTATCTGAGCTTCATAGATTTTTAAACTTAACGGATGTTCAGGATGTCACCTAATTTGCAATGGCAAATCTTTACGCAAAACCGAAATATAAATGTTTGAAGGAAAATTTTGGCTCTTCAGTAATGAGACATTCAGACTTCTAGGTTTGATAAATTCCATGAGAGAAGACTCAGACCCATCGCTTGTGATTTTGCACCTTCATAAGTACCTTAAGGTTTTGAAAGTTTTCTTTAGGCAATTCATCATTTCAATGTCTGAATCACTGAATTAATTGAAGGGCCATAACTCCAAAACCATTCATCCAATTATTACTATTTTTGAACTTGAGATCTCATCAATTTATACATACATAATAAGTTTCCTTGAGATCAGATAAAAACTGCACCCTGTATCATGACTACAAGCAAAATTTGAAGCGTTTTTACTAAGTCAAGGCGCAATAACTCTGAAACCAAGTCAAGGGCAATAACTCTGAAACCGATCATCCGATAATTACCAATTTCGAACTTGACCGAGATCTCAACAATATATACATGCATACCAAGTTTCATTCAGATTGGATAAAAACTGTAGCCTCTATCGGACCATAAAAACGACGAATTACGTTATTACCATAACTCCCGTTCGTGCCTACGAAGAAATGTGAACGGACGGACCGACGGACAGGGGCGACGGCAATATACGTGCACATTTCCATGTGGGCGTATAAAAATCCACAAAACTGTTTTCATGACACTCACAATCTCTATTGCCCTATAGGTATGGTTCAAAAAATAGAAACTGTTAAGAGCAGTGTTTGTAGGTCGAGTGAAGAAAAACAGTTCCAGTTGAGTGGAGCTTATGACCTTGAACTTCAATATTTTCTTTTGTCCAACCGCGAGCGTTTGTTATTTCCGTCAATTGTGGTCAGATAGTGCTCATTTGTTGTGAACAGAGTTAGGGACATTTTTCGTCATCTTATAACAAGAACTATAGCCATGTCTCTTGCTCGCCATAATTTTCATGAAGATTGTGAAGCTGGAATTAATCGACAGATAAATCTAGAATTATATGCAAGTTATGTCTATCAATCTATGGTAAGTTCTTACCTCAATGTCGACTGTCATTCAGTCCCGTCGCCAGGAATGAAATGGTGTTGGGGCTCAGATTTTGTACTCTGAAAATTTGAAGAATTAAAGGCCCAGAACTCATTTCTGACAATTTTGAGGTACCAAAAACGTGTCAAAATCTATATATTTTTTATTATGTACAAAGACAATGTAAATGAATCAATCTCTGCTGAACTAAAGGAGGTTTTCCTGGGGTTTAATTCTCACTTGCTCGCTTACTGAGGCCCAGCCCTCATGGATCCAACCATCGCGACGGGGCTGGTGCCATTTCCTATAAGTACAATACAAGTTTCTGTAGCAGTCATGGTCTTGACTTGGAGCTTATGAAGTAGTTTTTTCTTAAGATGTAGGCCTAGCCTATCTACATTTTATGCAGTGTAGGCCTTTGTGAAAATTGGATGCCCAATTTTATTTTAGGCATTTCATTTTGATCGAGATGACGTCAACTTACCAGGCTTCTTTAAGTTTTTCAAGAAACAAGGTGATGAAGAGAGAGAACATGCTGAATTATTGATGAAATATCAAAATACAAGAGGTGGTAGAATTGTTCTCAACAATGTCCAGGTATTAACAGTTATAATGAAATTTCATGCTATGGACTTGACACTTAACTTTTACCTCATCAGCTATTTTTTTATTGATATATGTTTAACTGTTTGATCACTTAATTAAACGGCTGTGGCTATTCGCACCATGACGGTCAAAAAATGGGCATTAAAAATCATATGGCCATCCCTATTTAACCCTAACAAAGTCACTTAATATCATTCTTGATAAACAAAATGGCTTGACGCTATAAACTAACAACTTGCACGCCTATTGTGTCTTATCTTATCTGTATCATTGTTAGCAGCCATAGAGAATACGCGTCGTGACAGTACAAATAATCAGTGCGTAATTTAAAACTGTTGATTCTTTTCTAAAAATTTTCAAGAATTTTTCATAAATTAATGTAATGGGATCATCACTAATATTCAATGCTTATGGTCAAATAGTAGGCATCAGATTTTATATATAAAAACACTGAGAACACTGTAGGTGACTGAAATTGACATCATTGACAAAGTATTTCTAGAGATGACTATAATATGGTTGATGGTTGACTCCTTTCAAATATATAAAGATGTATATTGACTATTTTACTAGAAACCTGAACAGAACGAATGGGGTACTGGATTAGAAGCTATGCAGGTATCATTACAATTAGAGAAGAAAGTAAATCAATCCCTATTAGATCTTCATAAAATTGCTGATACTCACGATGATGCCCAGGTAAGTTTTGTTCAACAATTTAGTCACATCTGGTCCAAACCCTAAACAAAGCAGTGGCTCTACACCAATTGTGATTATGTAGAATTACTGATAAATTTTGTTATGGTGGTCTATCTCATAGAAGATTGTAGTGACATCTATTGTGATAAAGGTGTTCTAAAAGAGACGAGAAATGTCTTTCAAGATTTTGTCACCTTTTTTTGTAAGGAGTGTTATAATATGTGTTTCAGGGACACGTAAAGAATCAATTTGCACCATTTCATTTAAGCATCAATTTGCACCATTTCATGAGAAGTCTGTGGTTCCTGCAATTCTACTAAAACTAAGCTTTTCATAATGCTGCTATCGCAAAGCAGATTTTGCGATAGTGACATCAAACGATTGGTTAAGTAGAATTGCAATAATTACATGTACTTATTTTATTATAGTACTTTATATGATTTATTATTGTCCCTTTTAATTTTAGATGACTGATTTCATAGAAGGAAAGTTTCTTGATGAACAAGTTGAATCTATTAAAGAGATATCTAACTATATAGCTAGTTTAAAACGTGTTGGACCAGGACTTGGTGAATACCAATTTGATAAAGAAACATTAGGAGGAGAAAATTAAGGTTACATAAGTTCCATACCCTTACTCAGGAAGAATGTAATGATATCAATACTGCCAGTCGCTGCAATATTCTATATATTATACATATTTATCTGTGAATTGATAATTGATGTACATAAGGACATTTGTCAAAATTTATGTTGTAAAAATAATTTAATCAAAGTTTTGTTTGGTGACATTTCAAAAAACAGATTTGAATTTTGGAGGAATTTCATTTTAAATAGATGTGTGATAGGAAGTCTGTTTATTTTTTTTAGTATAAGAGATGTATGGGCAAGACACAGTTTGTCTCTAAATCTTTAAAATGACAAAAATTATGTTATATGAACTGTGTGAATTATTCTGAATATTTGGGTTTTTTTTGTAAGTAATAAAATGTGTTTTTGCTTTCTGACATTTTTTAGCTTAACATATAGCTAAACGACGATGTATCACTGATCCTTTCCGAAAATGTTTTAGATGGACTAGATACAACCAATATCTATGAAATCTTATACTGGTTTATCTGTCTTCACAATATACTTCTCATCAAACTTTAAGCTTCCACATTCTGTCAGAAGGAACTCCTCTGAGGTTATCCTAAAACTATTTGACACTACTTTTTAAAGAACTGTTTCTGAGTTGGGCATCTTATGAATGTGACAAATTGCTATCATATCAAAAACTTAAATTGTGTGTGTGCAGTAATGTCTGAATGGGATATTGTTGAAGAAGTTTAGTCAATATATCAACATACCATTTTGTTAAAAATTTACTTCTGATAAAATTAATGAAGAGCTAAAAGTATGCTCTATGAGCCAGTAAAACAACTAGAACAGTGATTCCAAACATTTTTCAGCCCTCATACCACCAGAACAATCCTTAAAACCCCTTTCACCCCAAAAACCAATGGGCAATTGAAATTATGTAAATTTTATAATTGTTCATTCAAGCAAATAATACTTCAACATTTCCTAACTGTTTTAGGTTTGCTCTATGGTAGTGGCTGTTACACTGTCCATCTATTGAAAAACATACACCAAAAGCCCCTATAGCCCACATAGAGAAATTTTTCTCCTACAGCAGAAGAAACAAACCCCAACTCCAAAGGGTGAAAACCAGGGATCTAGAAGATTGTTACAAAAATGTTGGGATTATACAAAAGGAACATTAAAAAAAAAAATTGCATCCTTTGGATAAACTAAAGAATTTACACAACCAAGAAACAAACAAAGTTCATAGTATTAGTTTATTCAGAGCAACTTTTGTGTTTTTTCTTCTTTTCCTTATGTTTTCTCTTTTCAATGAGATCTTGCTGTGAATCATGTGAAACAGAAGAGTCTTCTTTGTCTTTAGTTTTATGTTTACATTTCTTATGTTTTTTATTCTTGCACTGATCAGTCTCTTCACTGGGCAATTCACCATGTTTATCAATATTATCCTTTTGAGATGATGGATGATCAGAAACACTATTTACAATGTCTTTCAGAAAGTCATCAGGTATAACAGCTTCCATCAGTCTTTCATCTTCTCCACTGAATTAAGAAAATATATTGTATTGTTTATTTCAAAGATCATATTCCAAATCATGACTAGAATCCTCTTCACAATGGTCAAGGTATTACGTCTAGATCTTATACCTTGACTGCCATGGCCCGCTTTCTTGCTTGACGGTCAGTAATTTGATTGGATTGTATACCAAATCAAATCAAACTTCTGTGAAACAAGAAAGTGGACCATTGCAGTGAAGGTATAAGATGAAGACACAATCCCTTGACCAATGTGAAGATAAACTAGAATCTTCTAACCCTTCCAGGAGTCCATATGCTAAAACAGCAGTTTCAATAAGGGAATTTGAAAGAATCGTGTGCTTCATTGAATAATTTCTAGAGTATAAATGACAAAAATTGTTAAGTATCGTAACTCATTCATTAACATCAATGTAATTACTCTGTGTACAATCATAGTATAAAACCTCCCATATTTTTCATCTAATCTGAGAAAGCAACAACAATGCTATTCATGTTTACTTATCCCAGTATGACATCAGATCATGTCATTACCTTTCACTTGAGCTGCTTTTCCTTTTCTTTTTGCGTTTGACACTTGATCTTTTCTCTACCTCATCTTCTGTCAACCAGTCCCCATAGGACGCCGAAAATAATCGAAAACCTGAAATGTTAAAATATTGCTATACACATGATATTACAAAAGAAACAGAACAAGAAGAAAATAATTAAAATATGTTTTATGTTGATCTTAAAGGGACAGATGGGCCAAATTTTCTACCCATCGTACCTTAGTCTCGGAAACAGGAATTCTTTAGCTAATCTAATCAGTAAGTGTTAAAAGGTCAGTGTCAAAATTTGAAATAAAATCCATCTTTTTCCAGAATTATCCGTGTGTGGAACATAAAAAGACAAGTTGTCTTTTCTTCAGACACTGCCATAAATAGACAAGACATCTATAAAAATAGCAAAAAAAATTCCAAGTTTGAGATATTTTGGTTTGGAATTATGTAATTTTCATACATTACTCAAACTTCTGAAGACTATTTACATATATTCAAGACTCAAATCAACCCCCAAATTGGCAAATCTCTTACGGATTTGGAGAAAATTCCCTGAATTTCAAATAATTAGAACTTGCCATACTTTGAAAATGAACAATATAAAGAAAGAAAATATATTTACCATCTTGTTTTGGTATTTTGGCATCCTTCTTAATATTTTCATCTTCTGGAAATTCTGTGATACTAAATAAATACAATAGTTAATATACTAATAATAGTAAGTTGCAAGATAGAGAAATGTATTAAAACCATGTTCTTGTGAACTTGGAATAGAGTAATGAAAATTAATAACAAAGCCAAGTGCTACATGTACTCTCTTAACCACTGTGGTTTCTGACATGAAAATATTATGTCATTTCAGAAATTATGCTTTAACTTTTTAAGAATTTGCACATGCATGTCATTTGTTCTAGAGCCCAAAATTATACTGATGAAGTGGCTGACAAGTATTACATATATTCAATCGATATAGGTATAAAAACAAAATAGATACCTGTCTAAATATGATCCAAGCTTTTTAGCTATAAAAAATCTAAATTCTGGTGTTGTATTCAACTCATTACTTTTAGTATCATCAGTCTTTAAATTATTTCTAAAAATAAGAACACTTTATTTAATAATTTTGAAATGGATTCAGTTCGATAGTTCATATTCTACTGTCAACTATATAGATTATGGACATTTTGAAATATACAATGTTGTCAAGCAGTACCGAAAGATCATAATTTCATCTGTATCAATTTTCAGCATCAAAATTCCCTTAACACAACAAAAACATATCAGCGTTTCATTAAATATCACCAATGTTATTACTTCATGTTACAAATCACAATCACGCAAGAAAATAACAATAGGGATTATCTGAATTTTTTATGTGTTGGGGACACACTATAGCATCAATTTGCACCATTCCAACTTTCATAAATCAGGATGATTGTATCTCCAGGCCCGTAACCAGCCCAATATGCCAAGGGGGACGGCAGCATTTGCATGAGGGGCAATAGCTGATAGAGACTGATTTCAGCTCCAATTGAGAATTTGTTCAAATCTCTGCACATGAATATTTAATACAATGATGTCATGGTTAATTAAAGAGTGTAATTGAAGAGCTTATTTTGCAAATTTATGCATGCCTACTGTTCTATCAACAGATCATGATATTGGAAGGTGTTTTTTACTTGTAGTTAAGTGATATTTATTTCTATATGTAATTAATTGTATTCAGAGAGCACATTAGCCTTTTTAGGATAATTAGGCCTACTTGTCTGTTTAAAATTCCAGTTACCTCTTTGATGTTTTCTTGTTAAAATTAATATTATCAGACTTTGAATGACTACTCCCATCTAAAAAAGAATTATCGAAAAAATAACATAATATTAATAGGCATATTTGTTTTATTTTGCAATCTTACATTATTTTCAGGTGTAGACCCCTTGCGGCTTGATAGTGTGTTTATCTCAAACGTTAAAAAATTAAATAACAGGCTTCCAAGTTGGTTTCCAAAGACATTCTTAGAAAATATCGAACAACAGTCAAACACATCAACTAATTTATTGTTCATTACACTAAAAATAAAATACAATTACAAAGACAAAATAGCTGTACTAGTAGAGTAGGCCTATAGCCAGTATAGGTCTACTAACTAAGAAGAAGTAAACGGGTTTCTCATTTGGGAACTGTACTATTTAGTCTAATAGTCGCAAATATTAATTCATTTAGAAATCTTCCACTGTCGTAGGGTATGTAATGTAAGCATTACGAACTAGGATATGGCTTGGGAACATGCTCAAGGCCTATCACAGCCTCTTGAAGTCTTCTGGCCTCATCGTCGTCACTACTACTGCTACAGGATTTATCTTCACAGTTTGCTAGCATGCTTGATTGTGAAGGGTTGCACTAAAATTACGGCATTGAACTCGTGATAAATACAAAACGTAAATAGAGCTCTGTGATCTGGGATTTATGTTTTTTCCAGACATTGACATTTGCTCTTCGAATAATTATATGATATTATTTGGTTAGAAATGCAGTTGTCTGGTTTAATTCTGTTTAATCATATACCTTAATTTCAACATGAACCAATCTTCGTATTCTTTATTTCTGACAGTGAAGAATTTTGAATGACCATTAACGCGACGCCGCTGCTATGTGATGAGGCGAACTATTTTGTTTTTTTATGAAGTTATGAACAGTTATGTTTTCATTTTGTAAACAAATATTCTTTTGGTGCATATAAATGTGGTGTATTTTTCTGAGGATGAGCCTAAATCTACCCACTAATGGTGTAGCTACGAATAATCCACGAGTATTGATTCCTCATAATGGTCATCGATAGAAAAGTAGTCCGGATTCTTGCAGTGTTTTGAGAGGGAAAATGGCACATGGCTTGATGCGCAAAGTCAATGAACACCGAGCTCGTCAGTTAATGAGATATAATTTACATGCTTGAACCTTAAGGACAGAGTGGACAAATATACATCTGAAATGAATGAAAAATAGCCTACATCCTAACAAGACGAAGGAATTTTAAAGCGTTTTTAAAGAAGCGCAAGGTTGTAGAGACGCCAAGTCAAGGAACTTACTCACGTATTTATACTGAACAGTTTCGAAGAGGAGAAAATTAATGTGAAATTCGTCTTATCAAATTTTGTTAATAGCGTAATGGCGTACACGACCTTGAGCAGAGCTCAACTCAGTTTTGATTATCTGCACACAAATTCGTACGTAAGCTTATATACTAAAGATGGAAATCTCAAATTTGCTTATGACTGAAGTGAACGGGCTTCTTCACATAATGATAATGGTAGTAGGCTTGGAAATACTATAATAGTGGTATGAGTTGTGACGAACCAATGGAAATGGAAGCCATTTTGAATTCAATATATGTCTCTAGATGAAGAAATTTAGGCTCATAGTGGCTTGATTAAATTTGTAAAAATACTTGAAAGAGTGGATTATTTATTTTTTGTCTCTTTTATAGACAAGTTTACAAATGAATGTCATGGATGCTTATATAGCTTTTGGCTGTTGAGTCAAACATGAACCATTTAATGTAATATGTGTGGTTTTTAGTGCTATTTTCATTGTTTACAAATGAAGATATTTACTTCAGTTCTCATTATTCTTATACAACAAAACCTTGTAAGAATTTTTGACTTTTTATCATATTCATCTAGCTCTTTGTATATCATAAACAAGGCCACCAACTCAATCAAGAAAACAATGACACCAATCTCACTAAAGGTGACATCCCACATAGATTTGATGACAGTTATGTTCAAGACTATGGCATTGACAGGGTTTATTAATATTCTAAACAAGTGACAAATCCCTCATAATTGTAACCAATAAAGAAAAAACAGCTCACTAATTTTAAGTAGAAAGTTGAAACAAAGCTAAGTATCTGTGTAAGCTTATATCACACACCAACTTACAGTCAAAAGCTTATTAAGATAGATAGTTTCAGACTAACATGATAAAATGAGGAAGTGGAAAACTCCAATTGGGGAAGAAACAATTTATTTTCTCATTAACAACATTTAAAATTCCATTAAATTTACTTTCTTGTCTTAAAATTATGAACAATAATAGGACATAAGATTCATTACTTTTCTGTTATGATATGATAAGTCAGTATCAATGCACACATCTAAGATATTGCATAAACTTGAATCTACTTATCTACATAATAAATATGAGTAGGCCATTGGTGTTATTGGATTGCCCTATGTCAATGATCTTGCTGGCAATCACATTCTCTTGCCAAAAGGTTTTGGGTTCAATTCAAGCAACTGTTGAAATAGAAGGTTTTCAGTTGGATTGCAGTTGAAAATGGAAAACAGTTTGCCAGATTGCCACATTTCTGTGCAAACATTTCTGTCATATCCATGGTAATTCATTCGCTCCATTTAGAAAGCGCTAATCTTCCATCTTCTTGATGAAACTCAGCAGATCAACAAATAGTAAAGGTATATCTTACTCAAAATGTGAAATGGTTAATAGCCTGTTCTGATTGGAAGATGACCCGAAGAGTATTATTAATTGGTATTCTGAATAATCATGAATAAAATTGACACCATTTTAAGTTTTTGTAGAAAAATAACCTGTTGCTGTATATTGAATACAAAATATGTAATAATATTGATTTATAAAGCCATGTGTGGTAGATTTGCTTTACTTCCTTTATTTATTGAAATGAAATGTGTTAGTTTAAAGGGAGGAGTGTGCCATTTTTTTGACCAATCTTACTGTCGCCTCAGAAACCTAATTTATAGCCAAGCCAATCAGTAACAGTGTTCTCTTTCTAAATTTGAGCTTTCAAATACATGTGTATCCAGAATTATCTGTGTATGAAAATTTAAAAGACGCGTCGTCTTTTTTTGAGACACTGCTATAATAGCCATATATCGACAAGATATCTATAGAAAGTGGAAAAGAATCTAAGTTTCAGATATTTTTGAAGGAATTGTGCAATTTGCGTACATTTCTAGTACTTCTAAAGACCATGCCCATATAATCAACCCCCAAAATGGCGCATCTGTCCCTTCAAAGAAAAAGCTGATTATTGAAATCATATGAAATTTTTTAGTCCAATTTTTTTCCTTCCTTTTATTAGTCAGAATTCCTGAGCATGCCAAGATTTAATGATATATTACTCAGTGCATCAATTATACATAGCTCAGGAATCAAGGAGCACAAAGTATATATTTTTGAACAACTGACCAATCTGGAATAACTGGTGGCATGATGGAATTTATCTTCTGAAAAGCAAGACAAATCCTAATTCATTGATTTCACACTGAAATGCAAGATATAGATTGTAAGGCACTCTTAAAGGGAGAATACTTGTGGAGGAGGTGACAGAATCAGATTTATATGATATTCCAATATTCAAATCCAACTACAGAAATTGTATGTGACCCTACAGACTTTTCTAGGCATATTTTGAAGTCAGTGTATAAGATGTATAGATATAGATATTTTTAGAAGTGATATGAAATGTAAATAAATATATTGATGTAAATGTATTGATAGTTAAGGATTTTATCAAAGCATTAAAGGTACTACAGATTTATACAATTGATTATGCTGAATGTGCTTATAATAATTGTGTTCAATGTGTAAACAATGCCTAGAAAACTATTAAAATAAGTATCTTTTGTTTTGTTAAAAAATTAAATTACTGTGTTAAATGTGGTTGAGCAAAGTTATATATGAATACATTTTTGTTTACAACAGGAATCAACTACCAATCATTGATCATTTATATCCTGTCAAATATAGATGCACCCAGATATAGAAATGAAGCCAATGCTAGTTACAATGAAGAAATTTAGATGATAAAGGCATAATTTAAATTAAAAGTAACTGCAATTGTAGAATGTATTTTCATTTGTAAAATTATTTATTCAATTAACATTATTTGTTTATAGATATATACATGCACTGTACATTATAATTGTATTTTTGACTATGTATTTTTTTTTTATGAGTTGAATAAAGATATTACTTTCCCACCTCCCAAAAACAAACAATACATTATAAATGTTAAATATAATGTATGTTGTACACTTCTTTATTACACTAAGCAAAATACAGTAACATATATAGAAACAAACTGCTATTAATGTTTCCTAATTTCATTCAAAAATGAAATCAAGCACACATTTAAACAAATAATGAAAAACTGATTTATTTTAAACTAAAAATAATGCAAAATTCAAAAACACAATTCTAAATGGCAATGAAGATAGCACTAAAACCACTACATCAAAAAAATGCTTTTCGTCTTAATGCAATGTAATTTTGTGTAAATCTTTTTATTTCAGCACAACTCATGAATTTCTGTTTGGAGCTTTGGCTGAATTGATAGATAATGCACGGTAAGTGAAATGTCATCCTGGTAGTTTCATAAATGAATATAAATTGTGGTCCCTACAGACGACAGTTAGCTAAATGATCTCAAATAAGTTGTCTCCCTTGAATATGGATTTAGAGCTTAATTGTGCATTGCCAAATCATTCATTGCTTCCTTATGTCCTGATTAGCTTGGCAGTAAAAACTTGAATCAACATGGAAAGTGGAAAGGACATGCTAGAATTTTGGACTTGTTAGGTTTAGGGAATGAGAACATGAGCACAAGAAATGAGAAGTCAAATATTGTATATATCAAGATAAAAACTGAACTATGAGGGGCAGTATGTTATAAAAAATAATGGCCTTCAAGTATAAAAGATAAAGCATAGAAATAACATTGAAAATATATGAATTGTTTGTGGAAAAGTTAATTTCCTAAATATCAAATCAAACGCTAAATCAACAATACCAGAGTTGAAAATTGATAGATATTTATGTGAAAATGGCTATATAAAGAAGAAATTCAAAAGAAACATTTCATGTTAATTATGAAATCTATAATAAAATAAAATTGATTTCTGTAATATTTACATGAAAATATATTTAGTGGAAAAATGTATTCAAAGATATAAAAGCAGAACACAAAGAGCAATTACAATACATAATATATGTTGTCAATTACAGAAAAGCACTATAGAAATTTGGGTCATTTAATAATAGAAATTTGTATGTGTATTCAGTAAATCAAATACAAATATGTCTAAAACACAAAAATTAATTTCCATGATTTATGTTTCATATACATTGATGCTAATTTAAAGTTACCCACAATTGAAGTTCTCGTAATGGCCAATATTAGTCTATATTCATCAGTTAGTTTACCTGGTGTCATAAAGTTATCAGAATCCTTGTAAAATCTGTAAAATTGGAAAATTCATAAAACTAAGTAATTATTGAAAAACGCTGTATCTTGATATTAAGCGTTTTTCATAGTAAATTGCATAGTTATGGATAATAACTAAGTTTTTTGGATTTATCGGATTTTAAAAGGATCCTGTTATGTTATTTATAACACCAGGTATATCTACTGGCTCTTATTTGCCAAGTTCAAAATTCTTAAATTTTATGTTAATTCTAAGACGTATCACTTTAAAATACTGTAAATACAGAGTTGTACAGGCATTTAAAATATGCTTACACATGGACTGATTTTGATTTTCATTCTTTTTCAGAGATGCAAATGCTACAAAAATCAATGTTTATTCTGGTAAGTTTAAAGACCGTAAAGCACTGTGCTTGATTACTTCAAAAGCTATATAATAAATAAAAATAATATTGTTTAATGCAGTAAACCATGGGGGGTTGATATTGATTTCCATGATAACATTACTTCTGGTACTATTGATTTAATTGAAATCTTAACAAACTATATGTTGCATTTTCATTCTAAAAAAAAGCATCTTTTTTTTTACTTTCATATTGTCTAAATTCTTAAATTTTAGTGGCAGAAAATTCATTGCGTGGAGGATATGTGATGTGTTTCTTGGATGATGGAGAAGGCATGGATCCAAGTAAGTATTTATATGAATAATAATAATTTAGCTCAGCATAGATCACAGTGCAGGCATTTGAATGCAATGTTTCATGGCTCCAGTGATTAAAAAAATGGGCAATACTGTGGTTATATGAACATCAGAATGAGTAATTGTAAACTCTATTTATGGAATGACATGTTTTAACTATCCAGATTTTCGTTAAACCACATGATTTTATCGGGAACGGGAATGTGCGGATAAACTAGACTCCTGTAGTTGTTTGTGCCATTTAAGTATTATTCTCAATCTAGTACTGGTTAATGGTGTAGGTCTTACAGCTAATCTAAATATTTATTCAGGAGTGTAAGCAAAGCCTTTATATTTACTAACTATAGCATAGGTTATACTTGCTATATTTTGTTGGAATGAAACCTTTATTTATGAAGAATGATGACAAATGTATTCAAAGCTCTCTCATTATATGATCAATCCATAGTGTACAAGTTAGAAGTCATTTGATTTTTTTTAGGTGAAACTGCTGATATTGTTACATTTGGCAAATCATTAAAAAAATCAGCAGACACACAGCATATTGGCATGTATGGTAATGGCTTGAAATCGTAAGTTTTTCTTCTATGTTTTCAATGGATTTGATGAAATACCTTTATGTAATAATGTACAGACATCATGTTATGTAAATCAAGTTGGAATTTTTGGTCATTGCAATTATAAGCAGAGTTATTTCCCTTTTTTCTGAATTTTGAAAAATAAAAACTTCAACTTTTTTTTTTGATTTTCATGAAATTTGATTTGTTTGTAAGAATATAAATAACAAAAATGAAATTCTTGTGAAAAAGATAAATATAAAGTAAATATTGATTAAAATGCATCGATGGAAACGAACTAGTGTTATTACATTTCAGAGGTTCAATGAGAATAGGTAATGATTTAATGGTTTTCACAAAGAAAGGTTTAACAATGTCATGTCTCTTTTTATCTCGAACATTTCACGAAGAAGAAGGTATAGACGAGGTTAGTAAAATACCAATATGGAGACTGAATTAATTCTCTTAGATGTATAGGCCTAGAGCAGTGGTTCCAAACCTTTTTCAGCCATTGCAACCCTAGAGTAATCATTTGAACCCCTCACACCCTCAAAACAATGGACATTTAAAACATGTTTTCTTTGGAACCATATAATATCCCCCCAAAAAAACCATCCTCCTAGTTGTCCACACCCAAGGAAATATCAATTTTTATTTTTTCATCTGCAATCAACATTAACCACGTTGGATAAGTAATGAGTGTCTCAGCAGCCCATCTCATGCAAAAACATGAAAAAATGACACCTTTAGGCATAGACCTAACAACGACAATAATGTAAGAACATGAAAATTTAACTTATCAGAAATGTGGCCAATATGTGGGTTCATCACATTATATGGTAAGCATACAATTTATCTTCAACCTTTTATCATTTCTTTATCAGGTTATCGTTCCACTCCCATCATTTGAAGTTGGCACAAGGACACCATTATCACAAGGTTCTAGAAGTGAAGAAAAGGTATATTGTTTGCATGTCTATTTATATTTTTTAATCTACAAAAAAAGTGGAATGTCCCTTTAAAGGTGCACTCAGATTTTTGTTGCTCAAATTTGTGAAAACTTGACACCAACATGAGAGAAATGTTTCCCTTAACATATCTGTAAGTTATAACTAAAGAAATCCAGTCGTTAATTTTTTACCACCAAAAATATTTACAAACATTAGGTAAGATTTTTAAGTTCGTTATTTTGTAAGTTGTTAGAAAGATACTGTACGGATTTGAGTAAAATAAACGCCTAATTGTAGAGAAATATGTCTTTTATATATTCTAAAGGTTTCAACTAATTATAAAGTCTAACACCAAAGACTCGTCTCAATACACCCTAACACCAAAACCAGGCCAAACTGCTTAATTAATTAATTAATTAGTGCACAAGTAGATACATAAATAGCATACTTTAGAAATATTTACAGTTATAAAACAACGATTTTAATACGCCCACATCTCTCTAGATTTTTTGATGGAATCAAATGAAATTCGGTATGTGTATACATGTTTATAAAACGAAGATCAAGTTCGAATTTGAGCTATTTTCGACCGTTAGGAGCAGAGTTCTTGCCCTTGCCCCAAAATCTTGAATATGCTATTACTCTCTTAGTTTTCAACCGATTTTGATGAAACTTAAAATGGATGTTTCGTTTTTACCATCCGCATGCCGTGGTGGGCGTATATGGCTGTGGTCCACTATCTTTTACAAAAAAAGTGGAATGCCCCTTTAAGTTATATCAAAGCAGGCATAATATCCAGCATAACTGTCAGGCCAAAATACATTGTGGATTTTTCGTGGTCATTTCCAGGAGCAGAGTCTTTCATTTTTTATACGCCCACATGAAATGGGGGGTGTATATTGTCATCACCCATATCCGTCGGTCGGTACGTCCGTCCGTCCACAATTGCTCGTAAAAACTCTACAAGACACAATTCTTGACGGATTTTGACAAAACTTGGTATGAGTGTTTGTAATCACCCAAGGATGAACCCTATTGAAAATCAGAAGAATCGAAAAATATTTAGTATAAGTTATTGCCCTTGTTCTTGAAAACGCGTTCAATTTTAGCTCGTAAACACTTTAGAAGGGACAATTCTTGACAGATTTTAACGAAACTTGGCATGAGTGTTGGTAATCAACCAAGGATGAACCCTATTGAAAATCAGAAGAATCGAAAAATATTTAGTATAAGTTATTGCCCTTGTTCTTGAAAACGCGTTCAATTTTTAGCACGTAATCACTCTAGAAGGGACAATTCTTGACAGATTTTAACGAAACTTGGCATGAGTGTTTGTTTTCAACGAAGGATGAACCCTATTGAAAATCAGAAAAATCAAAACAATATTTAGTATAGTTATTGTCCTTGTTCTTGAAAACACGTTCAATTTTTAGAACGTAAACACTCTAGAAAATAACAAGAAACGAAAAATATTTAGTGTGTGTTTTTGCCCTTGTTCTTGAATATGCGTTCAATTTTTAGCTCGTAATCATTCTAGAAGGCACAATTATTGAGGGATTTTGATGAAACTTGGTGTGAGTGTTCGTAATCACCCAAGGATGAACCCTATTGAAAATCAGAAGAATTGAAAAATATTTAATATGAGTTATTGCCCTTGTTCTTGAAAACGCTTTCAAATTTAGCTCTTAAACTCTAAAAGGCATGATTCTTGCTGGATTTTGGCAAAACTTGGTTTTATTATTCGCTGAAGATTGAATATTTGTCTTCTTGAGTTTTCACAAGCTAAAGATTGAACACGTTTTCAAGAACAAGGGCAATAACTCATACTCAATATTATTCAGTATCGCCCTAAAGAGTTCAGAAGAAGTGTATTACTGAAGGTTGAATATTTCATACTGGTGATTGTTACTGTACTGCTAAATATTTTTATTCAAAATCAAAGCTGCTAATGGGCGTATATTACCTTGCCTGGCAAGCTATCTTAGATTGCTGTTAGCTTAATTTTGTGACTCAATATTGTCAAATAAAGTTGTTGTAAATGTTCTTTTTTCAGCATGAAGTAGAGATGAGTTTAATCTACAGATATTCACCATTTAAAACTGAAGAAGATTTTTTTGCTCAGTTTGAGAGAATTGAAGGAGAATCAGGGACACTAGTAGTTGTATATAATCTGAAGCTGTTAGACTCAGGAGAACCTGAGTTAGATGTAGATTCTGATCCTACTGATATAGTTCTAGCTAATCCTGAAACAGAAGAAGATTCTGATGAAGGGTAAATAATTTAGTTCAGTCATTTCCTCTTGTTAAAGAGGTTTTCTAAATTTTGTATGTGTATCAGGGACACTGATGACGTCACCCCTACAAAATTTCCTTGTAACACGGGTGACATCATAAAACACTTAATTTTAGTGGAATTGCAGGAATTTTAGTGGAATTTGCAGGAACCACAGACGTCTGATTGAAAATTGGAATGGTGCAAATTGATGCTATCAATTACCCCGATAAGCATAAGAAATCTAGAAATCCTCTTTACGATCCCTTTAATGTTCCATGATTTTTTTGATTTGTCACAATCCTAGTATGGTTTTAATAATCACAATTTCTTGAGCAAATATATAATGAAAATAGCAGATAATTATTTGAATTTGGTCGTAAGTTAGCTAAAGCTTGCAATTATTTTCACTTTTTTACTACGAGTTTTTGGAATGGAAAAAGTGTTTAAAGAGTCAGGTTTGCCATTTTGGGGAGAGGGGGAGGGGTGTATTTTGGTCTTGAATATAATTAAATAGTCTTCAAAAGTACTAGAAATGTACGAAATTCATATAATTCCTTCAAAAATACTTCAAACTAGGAATTTTACTTGCTATTTCCATAAGTTTACGTGTCTTTTCTATATATGGGTCTCAGGAATAGACATTTAACATGCGAATTTTGATAATTATGTCCACACATGGATTTGAAGACTCAAATTTTGACAGTGTGCTGTAAACACTAATATTGATTAGCTAGGTAAAAATTCTTGTTTCTGAGACTAAAATCTGTTTAGTGAAATGAATGGCAAATCTGTGCCTTTAAGTATGCACATAGGTACATTTTCTGTTATAGATCAGTTGCTCATTGAAAGTGTATCAAATTTTTTATGCAGGCTTTACAAATTGAAATTGAAGTAACTATTTTTGTCTTTCTTTTCTGATTTCAAGTTATGGGGAGAATTTGTCTGTATTTATTTCATTATTTTTTGTTCAAGTATTATTTTTATGTTCATTTAAAATGGTTGTAGTAAAAACTGATCAAACTTGTGGTCAAAATAGACGTAAAAAATTTCCCAAAAAGTCCAAACAAACCCCCTGAAATAGTCATAAAAAGCCTATATTAAGAAAATGTATGATAAGAAATATAATAAATTATATCACAAATTCCCAAAAAGGGGAAACCAATTAAAACTATATTATTGTCCTGTTATTTGACGTTTCGGCTTACTGCCTTCTTTAGAACACCCAAAATAGATCTCGATCACATCTTATTCCGTTATTTTACTAACTATTTAAAGTTTAGAA